AAGTAGATTTTATTTGTGATAATGAGTGCTTATAAATTCCTTTTGTCCCTGGCACTCTGAATATATTATTAATGGTTATTATGGTAGTGTGTATTGATTTTTTTTTATCTAATACATTTATTACTAACAATATTAAAATATTCTTAATGATTATGGGTTCCAGTCCCATCTCAGAGTGGTAGGGACAAAGAGGATTTTTTAATCATTTTTCATTAAGAATATTTTTCAGTATAGCATTGTGAATGCAAAATGTATCAAATATAATGATAAGGTTTATATGATTTAAATAAAACCTTTTTTACTTTTTACAGTAAGTTTTATGTGATTAACCTCTATGCTGTAACAGCGTTGTGCTCGACGTCGAGTTCGTAGCTCATTACAGAATATCTACTGGATAGGTTTCCTTTAAATTATTCTTAATAATTATAATGATGACTCTAACAAAAGGACTATTATGCAAAGGTTTTGTAATTAGGTTCAAATGAAAAGGAAACGGTTTGTTTTTTAATTTGCTTCACGAATGAGTAATAAAAATAAGTGATTACTCATTTGCCATATGTATTTTATTACGAGTAGCTTCCTGAGTTTCTTTGATCATTGTTTCTTTCGTAATACCAAAACCTATCAAATTTTTATTACTAATGAGAATTTGATAAAGGTATCGTTCAAGAAATAATGTTTTCTAAGGAAAAGTGTCTTTTCGTCTATGACAACAGAGTTGGTAATTGAGAATGACATGGAGAATAATTTATTAAAGGTATTACTAGAGCGGAGAAGATTATAAACATTCTAAAATAGAATCCAGTTTGTTTGTTTCTCACAACACCTTGTGCAACACTTCTTTCTACTAGGTACGCCGGCAGTATATCATTCGTAAATAATATTTTTTATATAATGATGTTATATACAATATTCTTATATTTACAGAAATTATTTTGTGTCACTTTAATTACCCGTTTTTAGTGGCACAACTCCTGATGTTAGGATTAATATATTTCCATATTAAATTTGTAAAAGAACTACTGTTACTTATTTATTGTACGACTGTACATGTATATTTGAGTAGATATGTAGATGCGAAGATTCAAATGTGATAATAACATTTTTAATCGCTACATTCGTCAGATTAATACCTCCATTTTGGAGCTTGTGACTCATATCACGTCTGAATACAGCAAAAGAAAATCTTAAGTGGTCGATAGACACGCGAGTAAGTACACGAACTTGAGACTCGACGACCTTTTTCGCTTGTGTGTCAACTTAAGTTCGCGCTTTTAATCGCACGTCTATCGTCCACTTAAGTTCTCTTTTCTTATTCGAAGGCAATCTAGTAATAAACTTGGATTTTTCTTTGGATGACAAATGGCTGAATATGTACTAATAATGATTGCTGTGTCTCTTTCGTCCATTGAATCGTCACTTTCAAGACCTAGACAATGTTTTTGCATTCTTATGACTATGATTATTTTATTAAACATCCTAAGCCGATTTCGCACAGGAGATAAACTTCTTTAATTTTACTATCCGTCAGTGAACTACATGGATATTCATTATGTTGTTTAGAAAAGATACAGGGAATGGCAGACGCTGGAAGATACTTTAATTTATATTCTGAGGTAATCAAACTAGATTGCTTCAAAAGCCTAATTACTTTATAAGTAACTTTTAGAAGAAATAATATGTCAATCGATTACATTATTTCAGTCTATTAAAGAAAAATACAGGGAAAGTGATGAACTGATGACAGACGGTCCATTTTTCACTCACCAATGCATTTGTTTACGCTAAACACTACCCACTGAGACATTTGACGTAGGAGACAACTCGACACAAACGTGTGACCTAATAAAATACATATATCCACTTTTTTTAATCAAATACTTTTGGTTTACGTGTATGGAGCGATTATACTACTAATACACACTTGATTTTTAAAGTGCGTACTATGATAACTATTTCAACAAATAGTATAACAAGTTCGCACATATGTATTCAGTGATTTATGAATGAATTTTGTTTGATTTTTATATAATCAGTAAAGTGATTAATTCTGTAAACCTATATATAAAGTAGTTGTCCTTTAAACCATTTCAAGTTTGGAGTGGTGAAATGCTAGAATAGGTATAAAAGAAGTTTTTTACGGTAGGACACGAGGAGAAATGGGGCGATGTATAAAACGAAGTGGAACAGTGTCTAAATGTTAGTGTGACATTTGGGTTGCTTGTAGCCGTCAAGCATTGTTCGACTGTTTTTTATATTTTTATGACTACTAAAATTTATGTAGATATTAACTAGTGTGATTTTCATTAGCAACTAAGATAATTAGATTAAAACCATTGAAACTACATATTATTATATTAAAAGTAAAACGTAGGATTCCTGCCTGTGGTGTGAGCGACTGTCCATTGTCATCTTTGATGTCATGATCATCGTCATTTTATGTTATTATATTTTGTAAACGTCATAACATAATGTAAATATTATAAACCATATGGTGTCTCTAATATTAGATTTTATATGAAAAAGAAAGCTTTATATGAATTATGTAAACATATTTGATTTATTGGATTCTGTTTTTATTCTTAGTTTGTAGTAGCCTTGTTGTGATTTAGGTTACGTGTTATGCTTATGACTCATAGTTTTTAGGGTATCCAGTTTTCAAGTTGCGTGCAAGAAACTGAAATTACGTTTTATTGCAAAAAAAAAATTGGATTGGTTAAAATTCGGAGTTTAGATTTAGGTATGTCAAGGCCAATATGTTAATAATGCAAGCTAGGAGGAGGAAATGGTGGCAATATAGACAGACATTGATCCCTGTAGTGATTTATAGTGCTTGCGACTTTTCTTTTATTCCAGTTAATTTGTTAGCATTCTGCTATTGTTTATTTTTCTTTTACACGAAATAGGAATCGGGTTCAGAAAGACATTGCTGAGAGTAGATATAGTGGCTCTCATGCAAATAGTGACGTGTCTTAAACAAAACCATAATTTGGATTTGCCAGTAATGAAATAATCAACAATACACAAATAATATGGTCTTTTTAATTCGAAACGTACTTGAGGAATAGATTGAACAATGATATGAAAGTGTTTCATTGATTTTAATATAAATCATATAACGAATGCCATAAACTTAATTTCGCATAAAGTTATTTAGCATGCATTCATATAGCATACATCCAAAACTTATAATTTTGGAAGTCAGAATCATCTTCATGCATAAATTTTATATGTCTAATAATTAAAAAGAATAACCATTATTTCACAAAAACTTAACACTCGGAGTCTTGGTTTGACGTATGTACGTCAAAAGATATACGTATGTACATACATACAGTGGTGGCCATATAATTAAACTTGCCCTATTTTTTAAATATTACTTCTGGTAAATATTTACTTATACGTAAGTATTCAGAGAGCCAGTTAAGATAAACTAAACTAGGATAGACATAAAGAAATAGAATCCCATTTTTCCGAATAAATGTCGTATAAAGTATCACATAATCGATTTGCTACCTTTTTTTTAACTTAAACCAGGTTTAGTTTAAATCAGGGCTGTTAGCCAGCCTAAGACGGAAACGAATTGAGAGTGAAGAAATTCCTTTACCGACGGGCTGTATGTTTTGGATCATTATCATGCTGAAATTTCCAAATAATTGGAAGAACGCCTTCAGCATAGGGTAACATTGTTTCTTCTAATATATTATTGTACTGAACTTGAGCCATGTTTCCTTCTATAAGCCTAATTGGCCTATTTCCATTACCAGAAAAGTAATCCCAAATGTTCAAGTTGCCACCATCATGTTTAAAGTCACCTTAGTAAACTTTGGGTCAAATGCCTTATTAGAAGGCCGACATATGTATTGTTAAGTCAGAAAAAAGTACAATTGACCACTGTTTAACCGTCCAGGTTTCATATTGTACTTTTTTGCAAAGGTTTTTTGAAAGGATTTGATTTCGCCAAACGAATGATGTTTCTGTCGTATCGAAAAGATGTGGCATGCGTGGAATATTTAAAGTACTGTTATAAGTTTTAAAATGTTTCACAGCATTGAAGATCATGTTTTTCGAACATTGTAGATGGTCGCAACTTTTATTGTTTCCCATTATTATTTTGAAAAATTACGTTCCAGTTGTATTTACACTACTAAATGGCGCCAGTTTTATGAGAAATTAGTATAACCATAGAGTGTTCTTTGTTTGAATTTGAATAAAAAAAAATAGTTTGCTTTCTTAATTATATGACCAGCCAGTAAGAAGTAATTCTTGGATTAGATTTTACGTTTGCGTAATTTATATATATTTTTATTCGTGGTTTATTAAATCTAATTTATAGGAGAAAGAACTAACAATGTAGAAAGATTTCGGAGTACCACAATAATTAAAAAACAATACACGCAACAAGCAATATGTTATTTTTTAAGTAAATGTACTATTTTCAAGGGAGCGTTCTTTATTATAGGTATACCCATATACACACATATGAGTACAATTATATTTTTAAATATAAGGTGTATAAGTATTTGTTTTAGTCTACTATTGTTCTAGTCACAGTTCTAACCTAATCTAATCGATTATTCAGTTCTTTCCTTTTCAAATTAATGTTTGTCAAAGCTTGAGCCTAAAGAAATTCTGCCATTCAATAGAATGTAAATTCTATTGTAAATTTAGACATTGACCAGATTATGCCTAGTCTGTTATGTCAAATAAGTTGTGGAGTGGAAATTTTGAACACAATATATTAACACTGTGTTTAATTCGTCGGTACACAATCAGGTTACCCCGAACTGATAATTGTCTTAAATTGCTTTAATATCTTGAAATGGCGACTGTTTATTTCAACAGTGATTGCGTTATTTTGATACTTTGTGGTTTTTACGTCAAGAATATGTCAACTTAAACTTTTTAACTTTTAACTTGTCGAGTGGGTTAATTGAAATGTATACTACTTATTTCGGAGCACAGATGTGAATCATAATTTTTGTAATCGTTGATTTCAGGTATAGCACTACGACCTTTCGGCCTCTCCGTCATATACCTGCTCCTCTACTTATTAGCACCATTAGTCATAGTTCCGGATACACAGACGTTCAGTGGTAAGAAAATGTTTTGTTTTGTAATCTTAACAGCTCATCAATATATATATATATATATATATATATATATATATATATATATATATATATATATATATATATATATATATATATTGTTTGTCAAACCAGAACAGAAATATCACTTATGTGTAACAATCAGAAATAAATGACCGTTCTATTGAGGTCGTGCGATGTTACATATTATCCCTTATCACATATTGACATGACCTAGTAGAACCTGTTAATGAGGATTTTTTTTTATATAGTTTGCCTTAACACTTTTCTTCTCATCATTATTAGAACTTCATAGTCTGTATCTATTTGTTTGTATATGATTAGTGATTAAAGTATTCTTAATGAAAATTGCATTTTGAATGCAAAATTGTTCAAATAAAATAATTAGTGATTATAGCTTTGAATGCTCTTTATGTTACCACCGAGTTCTATAATGATATTAGTCATATTGTCTGGGTATTATGTGCCATGTGTTAGCATACCAAGCTTGGATGACATTTTAAAACATGTAATACTTAATGCAGGACCCGAACTTTTTATATAACTATCTCCATAACCGAGTGGCTCGTACGCTGGTAATGAACATTTCTATTTTTTCGGTGCGGAGTGTTGTGGTACCTTTCTTTAAGATACTCCATAAGTATCTTCATATTTGAACTATGTATGTGATGTTGTGGACACATACATAGTTCAAATATGAAGATACTTATGGATACTTAACAATGCTTTACTTCGTTTAAGGTTAGAATCACAACATAAAGAAATATGGCAAATAATGTACATATATGTTATCAACACGTATGAAATTTGTATTAAATAAAATATTTACAACGGCAATCATTCGAGTTACCTACTTAAATGCTGTGAATCAGGTCCGACTATGCATGCGTAATTAAGCATAAATACGTATGAATTCTCAGATTTGATAAACTCATACAATAGAAATTCGTGAGAATTTTTTAAGTTATTTTCAATAGAGACTTGTATATTGTAAAGGCCAAATGTGTTCGTTTCAATTAAAGTGTCACCTATAATTAGCTGTATTTATTTATGATGTTATTTTACGTATATAACAGTAAACAACTATTCAGTATGTGCAAAATATTTTAAAACCTGCAATATCCATATTTGTGCACCGCCCGAAAAATAAGTTTATTCATAAGCGACGAGAGATCTCGTGATTACTATCAGCTCTAAATGTGCCCATAATCTAACTGCTCCTGAGGATGTACAATTTGAAGATTTAGAATAAGATGAATTGGAACAGCCAGCACGTGCATCTACGTACGACGACGTCTTTAGAAGACTTGTACCTTTGAAGACTAGGCCCTGCACGCGAAGCATAACTCGAGAGACGTTTTACTAGAGTGGAATTTGTACTAGGTCTAGAGTGAAATTTGTACTAGGTCTCGAGTGGAATTTGTATGGACGCACTCGATAAAAGTGTCATTTGGACATATCGAAACCTTTCTTGAGCTCGTCTTAATACGCGATGATTCTGTTGTTTCTTGAAAAATACAAGTCTTCTAATTGTTGTTGATAACCATATATATTTACATGAATAAATTGTGTTTCTAATAGTTATAAGGTTTTCTGGTAAAGAAATTCATTAGTATAATTATTACAAACATTATATACTAGAATCGTGACTTGTGGTAGTAATTTCTAAATTGGACTTCGCGTATTATTTGCGGGCAGTGCACAAAAAAGTAGGTACTTTATGCAGGCACTAACTTGTATGTATTGAAAATGCTAAATATTAACAATTGTAATTAACGTCGACGAGATAGTTCCTGATTTTATTAAATAATTACACATGTTTTATTTTTCAGGAGGATGTCGAACTTATCTTCTTCTTACTTTGATATTATCATTCTTGTTGCTATTAACACACGCAGCATGGCACAGCGTGCTTGCGGCATTTGCGCCCTATGGTTCTCTACTAAAAGATTACCCTATCATCCAAAAAATTGGCCATAACTTGGGTCTTGTCTCCTATGCAGGGATAGATCCACAGATGGCTGTGCATTACTTAGCCCCGGAGGTATGCAATTGCTTTCATGTCTTGTCTCTTTTTTAGTACAAACTAAGTTAAATAAAAGAAATCATTTATTTTTTATTTCAGCTAGTCATGAGTGGGGTGTCTCTTTTGGTATATTTGTTGGTGAAAAAGTTGTTGACACGCAATGAAACGGGTCTCCACAAAAAGGATTCAAAACATCAACGATATCCTTTGCTTACTAGCGCCGGTATAGTTTTACGCAATATAATGTTAATTAATTGTTAATTAACATTATATTGGATTATTAATTATTAAATTTATTTGTTCTAGGCAAGTATGTGTGTTTGTTTCTCATAATGTTCTCCGGTATAATGCGGCCAAGTATTTCTTCCGGAATCTACTTCTTGGTGTTCATGGGAGCTGCTACTGCGTGGGCAGTAGGACGACCTCTGGAGAAGGGTTTTGCGGTCGTCAGTCGTTGCGTCATGGCTATTATGGCAGTACACATAGCAATATTGGTGGCATATCAGTGCTCGTGGCTTATTGAAATATACCCCCCTGAAATGGATTTTGCTAGGCAAGTTTTAAATTTAAGCAGACTTGTTTTTGTTTGAATTACGATGCGGCTATGCAATAGTGAGGTAGGTTAAAATTATTGTGTTTCGATATTGAAAAGTCAGACTCCATAAAAACCGGCGAGTGGATGAGGCCAGAGATGTATGGAAGGACCGTACATTGTGGCGTTACGTCCTCTCTGCCTACCCCGCCAGCGATACGGCGTGAAGATATAGATAGATAGATATTGAAATGTCAGCGATTCTCTAAGTAGAACAGACTCGTGCGACGTTTATCGGAGACTGAAACTAATATTTGTTGTATAAAAGTTTATAATGTATCAATTTTCAGGTATTTTGGACTAACAAAACTAGTATCGATTAATGAAACAACGCCGACTTCTTTTACCTATGAGGTGACAAGGGATCAGTGGGCTACTATAGCAAGCCCTTTAGTCATTTTGCTCACCTATTTTATATTGGCCATTGAAACACGAGAATTATTTAAACCTAAGGTATGTCACTCAACGATATATTCACTTGCCAATTTTGTATTTTAATGCTGTTAACTAAACTACATTTTATTTAAGTAACTAACAGAGATTTTGCAAGTTTGCTTATAAAAATAATTTTCCGATTGGGTCTTTGCTATTTATCTGTTTTTCTTCAATTAACGCTGAAGACGCCTTTTACTCTACAATACTCGTAGGTTCCGCCTTTGCCGACGCTTAAAGTGTTATGAGTAGATTTTTGTATTTTTATTTAACTCACAAGCAGTGACTCACCGTTCATAATTACGGCTTGTGGGTTGATGAATTTTTGTTATCTGCAATGCTAACGGGGAACGTAGGCGAAGGAAAAGAGTGCGTTAACTGGCTTAGAGACCGGGAAGCTGAACGGATCGCTGGTGCGTGGCGTCTCGTTCCATCGAAGTCGACGAGGCAATCGCGAGAAGTGGATTGGCGCCACTAAGAAAGTCCGAGTAAGGATGGCGCGATTATAGTTTACAATAGTTTTCCCACTGTTCTACTTTGTTATCTACTCGGTCGCACTAGTTTGGAGTAATGCATAGTTTTTATTACAGTATTGTTTTGAATTCGCTTGCTGCATATTATATTTTAGGTCTATACGTGAGAACGATAAGGTAGACGCTATAAGTGTTTTCGTATTCTGTAAATACACAGTGTGTAGTGATATTAATAATGTTAGCCGTATGTAGTATTTTGATGCATGTTTTTCCCTTCCATTATGAGTTAGCGCATCTAATACGTTGTGTTACAGCACTGAAAGCATGACAAGCAATGGCTAACAACCGCACACTATTGACACGTGCACTCTTTGATCAGACTATTGCAGTTTTTTGTCATGATGGATATCAAAATTTGTTTATATTTTATGTTTGCAACCTGCTTTAATTCTTTTGTAGGTTGCATATACATACATAAATTCCAAAGCACTCCGTGGGAACGCCAGTGAGACTACCCCTGTAGGTATTTCATTTTATTCTCTTTTTACTGGGAATTTCTGTCTTGCCTTATTGTTATCGCTATATATCAATATATGTATTTTAATGTATGTCACATTTATGTATAATATTATTTAAAAGCATAAATTGAAAATTCAATTTATTGAGAAATTGATGCTTTCTTATTTATTCTACTAGATAGCAGTGACGAGGGGACGAATTCTAGTTACGTTCGGGTATATGTTCCAATTAAATAGATACTGAATTTTAGACGCAAACGCTAACGTCTTAATATATATTTTTTAATCATTATGCTAAAGATTATGATTTATATCCTGTAGAAAATCTCTGTCTGGGATTAGTGATTTTATTAAGTATTTGTCCGTAACAATTAAATGATTTGTTTAGATTATAATTTCACCATAATTTATTTTTGTTTTATATCAGTATGTACGGATCGTTCGCCGCTGTTACGTATTTATAATGCCTTTGTGCATATATTGATATAAATAAAATAACGCTTGGGATGCTTTTTCTGTTCAACATTGTTTGTTCTGTATATGTATGTATTATGAATGACACATACTTGTGCTGCTCTTACAACCTTTACTGTTTCATTCATTATCGTACCTATGTGATGGAATGTTTATAGTCCATTGCAATGTTTACTTACTGTGTATTTACATAAAGCTCACTGCATTAACTTGCTAATGCATTTAATGGATGGATGTTCGGTATGCAAATAGTAAGTTAGATTTAAGTTCATCAATGTATGGGACAAGCATTAAAATGAAGTACTTAGTTATAGTAGTTTAATAACATATATTGATGAAAGCGCATAATAACGTAATTGGTAGCAAAATTGACAAGAGTTTTATTATTTATTTATATTCATATATAGTCTAATGGTGCTGTTGCTTTTAGTTAGAACTTTATAGTTTTGGTTATGTTGATTAATTTATGCGATATTAATTAATCTATTCTCCTTGATCTGTTCAAATGTGAAAACTAAGATTTTACTGTATTTTTTTTTGATTAGAAGTAAATATTCCATACTTCTATCATTTTAGAAGTATGGAATATTAGAAAAGCGTAATTTTTTCTATGATAAAACTACTACAATATCTTATGAATGAGTGACATACATAGTGTTAAAATGTCAAATAAATTCAATTAACGACATTTGGATTTCCAAACATCTCAAATCTATAGTTCTATTAAAACATTTGTGTAGTACAGTCGACACCGCGTCTAATTGTACATACTGTCAAATATCTCCGCTTATTTTTAAACCATAATGTGTTGAAGATAGAGTTCAAAATCAACTGCAGTAATTTGACTTATTGCGGAAAACTAACGTGCTATATATGTATATTTCTGGCTCGTTTTCAAAGTGAAACAAGTAGGTTAATATTATTAAGTGGGTAGTTAGTGTCCCTACTTTTGTAGTAAGGTGCTTGGTTAACAAAACTCTTACCTATGTGAATATTGATAAGGTTGATTTAATATTTGTAGCTGATAAAGAGCATGAGTCCGAGTAAGCGGTGGTCGAGCATACGTTCGGGATCGCAATCGAAGCAGCTACACCAAGATTCTACCGGATCTGTAGTCATACCCGATGAAGGTATGTTTCGAGAAGTATATTAAAGTCCTAGAGCCACTGTATACAAAACTGTTTTATACAGTTCTGTAATGTTTCTGCAGTTCTGTAATGCTCTCAAAATATTAAGTTATGAATTTATTTTCACTAATGCACTGAAAAAAAAAATTGATATGATTACGAAAGGGAATGTAAGGAAAGGAAGACCGTACGAAACTTGAACTTTAGGAAAGATGATTACGGGTATGAAAGGCATGAATGGTGAGATTATGACTGTTCAAGAAGTATGGAGGAAAAATACATTTTGTGTTGACTTCAAATGAGAAGATTTTGAGAGATGAACAAAGGATTATGCACTGAGAAACTTAATGTCAAAATTTGTTACAGAATCTGCTATTGAAGGAGAAAACACTCTACTGGATGATATTGTTGCTGCTATTGTGGATTTCTTCCAGGTTTTGGTTAGGTAAAATAATAAACAGCTTAATAAGTTATTTGCCATTGTTTTTATTCAATCTACTTTAATACCTTATGTGCTGATAGATAAATCCAAAATTCTTACTTGATTAGGTGAAAAAAAATTGACAATGAAATTTTGACCGGGAATAAATCCGAAAATCCAGGATTTTTTTCCCAGTCCTCAGATTAATAGAGTTGGGAGAAGGAGCGGGAATACTTTTCCTCTTCCGACTGAATGAATTTTGTTTTTGTCAATCACCTAACTTTTGGTTACTTGGTACAAGTAACCAAAAGTACAGTCAAGGCCGTTATTTGGAATTAATCTAATTAATTGATTTCTACTAAAATAATTTGGTTAGTTACCAAAAGTATGTAGTAGTGATAAAAACGAAATTGCATTAATCGGAGTATTGGGGGAAAAATTCCTGCTGCTCCTACCAATTGGAGTACCGATCGGAAGACTGGGAATAATAGTTTAAATTTATATGTTAAACATGATTACAGGTCATCTTATATAGCGACAACAATCACTATGATGGCATGGAGTATAATGTTCCATTCGTGGCTCACATTCGTGTTCTTGATGTGGGCAAACATAGTGTGGCTGTGCCAAGATCAACGCTCGTTCATGCTAAAGACCAGTCCTGTCCTCGTCTGTTATGCGATGTTGCTACTACTCACACAGTACATTTACGGGATGAACTTATTAGAGACGGAGCTACCGTCTAATATTACGGTAAGTAAATAAATAATTTCTTCTAAGTGTCCAGATGTTTCAAGTATGTCAGTATAATGCCACTGTTGTCATTTTCCTACCCTATGGAGTATCTTCAATGTTCATTGTCATATGTGCAAGTTAACAGTTGACGGTTGCGAGATTTGTTGCCGCTTGCGTGTAATTGCAGACAGGTATTGTCCAGTTGCTCACTGTGTGTGCAAATATCTTAGTTATATAAATGTGTACTATTTTTTTTAACAAAAATGTATCTATTTTCATTATTATTTACAATGTTCATTTTTTATGAAGTCTATTAATGTCCTAGCTGTTGGGGCTCAGGCCTTCCCTTTGGATGAAATCGAATCAAATCGAAACGGCCATGACGCACCACGCGGCCCCATTGCGGAGGGGTGGGTATTAACGACTGCAGATGCAGCCGCGACCAACGGTTTAACATAAATCACGGAAGAGCTCGAGATGATAAATTTTTGGTCACCCATGACCTGGTGCGAAGACCTAGCGCGCTAACCACAGCGCCATCGAGCTCCGATATAAATGCCGAAATTCTCTAATGTTATATTTTTTTATGTCATAACCGTTGCTATAAATGGTAATTATGATGTTGCTTTTGTAGGAAGTGAACCTACGTCAGATAGGCGTTGGCAGGTCGGAGGGTGAGCCTTGCGTGCCGCTGCTGATCAAGTCTCTGTTCACCTGCATGTTCTGGGTGACGCTCCGGCAACGTGTGCAAGAGATCCGTCAGCGGCGTCAGTCCGCCGTCATCACGGACATGGCCGCGCCTCTACAGCTCACTGTGTCGGCTGCGGCTAGCGGTGAGTACGATACGCAATTAGGGGCCATCCATAAATTACGTCACACGTTACAATATTTTAACGTTTAATACACGTTTAATATGACAAACGGCTCCTTAGCTGCAATTTTTGTAAGTACACTAGGGTATGACAAAGTCTTATTAATTATCATTTTATTCCTGAATCGTTTTCACAATAAGAACGCCAACATTTACCGTGACACTTTATAAAACAAAATTACGATATCAAATGCCCTATTCGGGTTGGTTGTGTATATATAACTCGAACTAATTAAAATGTCATCTGAGGGTATATAGGGGAGACCTAGGAGAGTTGTGACAATTTTTACATAAGGGGCTCTATCTCGCTTAAGAAACATTCCACAGTTATGACTCATGTGAATTAGTTTAGCGCCATTCCTTCTGTTTTCAAAACCATCACTAAGAATTAATTAAAGTATAATAGTTTCTGAAAAAAATAACAAAATTCAAGTCCACTCCCCTTGTCACAACTCTCCTACCACCGAGGTAAGTTGTGACAGGTACCGAGGTAAGTTGTGACATCATTGTATTTAAGCTATAAGATATAAAAATACCATTACATACGACATAAATAAATCAAGCACGTTTTTTTATCAAATCAGTACTTTAATCAGTACTATAATAATAAATTTGACTTGGAAAACACACACTGAACATGTTTGCAAAAAGTTGTCCCAGTATTCTTGTGCACTGTACAAACTTAGTAGGATCGCGAATCAGTGCACGGTCCTTACAGCTTATCACGCGTACGTAGTTTCAACTGTTCGATACGGCATTATATTTTGGGGATATTCGACTGATTCTGTAACTGCCTTTAGAGCCCAGAAAAAATGTGTTAGGAGCATATGTCATTTACAGAGTACGGATACCTGTAGGCCATATTTTATTAAACTAAATATTATGACCCTGCCATCAATCTATATATTCGAAGTTGGTATTTTTGTCAAACAGAATCAACAACTATTTGAAAATAAGTCGAGATTGCGTCATCGAGACAAATTGTGTACGATACCCTCTTAGACAGCTGTGTTGAACAAAAGTATCTTTTGTATGGCTCCAAAAATTTTTGATAAAATTCCAAAACAATACGTAATCTGGATAATTGTAATGTTTTTAAAAGAAAACTTTGTAAATTATTAGTAGCTAAAGCATATTATAGTGTAAACGACTATCTAGCTGACAGTACTTTGTAAATGTATAAATACTTAATGAATTAATTGAATTTTTGACATAACATGTTATTGATTAGATTAGTTGACAATTACTAACCTACTAATATTGTATGCCTTTTAGGCAGATCACGGTGTAACTATTCAGTCCTTGCATCCAATATCTTTATATAACCTGCGATCAACAATAAAGATTGATTTGATTTGACTTGATTAATCATCTTTTAATACCTACCAACTAAAACAACATAGTATTAATATTCTCATAACAAGTAATTATAATATTTTCATTAACTAAATATGGTATCGCTTTGAGATCAATCATATTATTGTTATAATTAGTATAAAATCTTAATCTAATCAGATTCACAATTATGCCAAACGTAATGCAGCTCGTCCCCAGTACAATCTACGTGTGCCTAGCCTTTGCATTCAAGGCTTTGGACCCACTGATCATTCGATCTGCTGTCTGCATAGGCTTTAAGGCAAACCAAATAAAAGCAATTATTTTCTGCATCTTCTTCATCACTTGTTCTATTCTTCTTATTAGTCTTCTTTGGTTTTTTAGGTTTCTTTTTTTTTCTTCGTTTAAGACACGCTTCTTAACATTCTTAGATTTTCAGTCTCTGTATAGTTATTTGGCATTCTCAAATAAAATAAGTATGCGGTATGCCATTATACACCTTAAGTAGCTACTAACACAACAACAAACATCTAAAGTTAATAAAAAAAATTGTAAAAATAGCCCAGCAGAAATATGGAGTAAGATAGAAGAGTTGTGACAGGCTGTCACAACTCGCCTAGGTGTTCAAAATGACGTCTTGGTCCGAATAATAATTCATATTTTCTAAACACGATGCGCATACAAAAAATCAGTGCCACGTATTGAGACTTAAATAACTACATAACTTAAGAAAAAATAAAACATCAATGCACATATACTAAGATATGATATATATTCAAATAATATTTTGAAGAAAAACTTACTTTTCGCAATTTTTTGTACACTGACGATATATTTACGCAACTGTGCCATATGCACCGTCGACAGGTACTGAGTCGTGTAGCGCGTGTCGAGAACGACAAACAAGCATTAAAGCCATCTCGCTTACTATAATAGGTAGGGAGAAATCCTCCTTGTCACAACTCACCTCTGTCACAACTCACCTAGGTCTCCCTTACTATTTGTCCTCGAACGAAAATTCGCAAGATTTCGAATCGTTCGTATAATTTTGTTAGAATCATATCGGTAACACTAAGTTGGCACTAACCAACACATTACTGACATTGGTGAGACCCCTGAGTCGAAAAAAACACCTATTTTAAGTGTTTTTTTCGACTCGGGGAATCTCAGAATCAATTTCTTATTGGTGGTTGTATAGCTTTTTAATCGTAGTTTTTTTTATATTACTTTTTTTAAACAGGTCTGGCAAATGGTAATAAAAGACAAGACTTGACTATCTTGTTCACGACATACTTCAATTTTATCAGTTATCTGTCACTTCTCTCCTTTGAATTTTTCAGAACTATCGGATCCTTCTCTGCGGTACAAATTGACACTCTCTCGCTCTTTAGTTATCTTTCTTACTGCCGTTCCACTTTCTCTTTCACTCCAATCAATTCAGTTTCAAATATGAAAATCTTACACTAAATGACATTTATTCTTTTATCTTCAAGCACAATTAATATATACTGTGGATACTTTTAGTGATTTTAAATAATATCTTTTTAGTAATAGAAGCTCAACGCGAAGAAGAGAGTCGTTCTCGTCTCCTTCGCATATTAGGGGAGTGGTTGCGGGCAGCCTGCGCACGATATTGGATCTACGTGGTTGTAATCATGCTATTCGTGATCGGAGTCACTGGCGATCGCATGACCATATTCCGTATCATATACATGTTCCTGTTTCTCATCTTTATACTCATGTTCCAAGTAAGTACTGATGATATAAAAATACCATGTCTTTTGTAACGTTATGAGGCAAAATTAATAGGGATGACGACTGGGTTAAAAAAAATGCAATTCTATTAAGTCCGTCGGTCAGATAATAGAAAAATATTAGATACGTATTTTTTTACTTCAATTTAACAAGAAATAGCTTAGATAACAGGCATTAAAGATGAGGAGTGGGGGCACGCTACGTCACAGTTGAGTAGAAAACGTACCATAACGTGACGTCATGCGAAATTTCAACTTCATGTAACGCCGTAATTCCATGAAAAAAATTAAAAAATACGTGTTTAATATTTTTTAACACTCTACCTGACGGACAAACAAACAATAATTAGTCATCATCCCTATTCTAGTAATTTTCATGTTTTGATCTTTGACCTTTCGTAATCCGGGCGACTGCTCTAACCACTGAGCTAACCAGGTCATGGGTTCGAGTCCCATCTCAGAGTGTCAGGGACAAAATTGATCAATTATAATAAGTAATTTTCATTTTTGTGTGCGTATACGTTTACGTGTTGATTAATACAAATATATATTTTCTTTCAGATAAGTTACTATTGGTGGCGAAAGTTAATGTACATGTTTTGGATCATCGTCATTATCTACTCTATGGTCAATCTTATACTCATATACATATACCAGTTCGATAATTTCTCTAAAACAATAGAGACGTATTTGCTAATCAACGAAAGGCTGTAAGTTGATTTCAATAATGGATATTGCGTTCGTATTATAACTGGCTATCATAAAACCGATAGCTATTAGTTATATAAATTACTAATATTCTTTTCATAGCTTTATTTTTATTTCAGACAACATGATTTAGGATTAGAACCGTATCATCCAGCGGATTTGTTTGTAAAGTTGTTGACTCCTACACTGTTTTTAATTATCACCATTATGCAAGTACATTACTTCCACAAAGACTTTATGGCGCTATCGGATTTGAAGACAAGGTAAGTGTTAATTCATGAAACGAAGAAAAAAGTCGTAAGAAAAGTAACATAGATTAGTTGTATGTATATCATTACATCCTTGACACCCAAATTTGAAAATGCATTTATAATCAAAAAACAAAACCAGTAATTTTATTTTATAATGATCACTGATTTTAATTTTGAAATATTTTTCAGTCAATCATTAATTACTTTATGTAAAATTAAACAATGAAATAACGCTAGTATACACAGCAGCACGTCAGGTTACCGTCAAATATCAACGTTCCGTTGCCGATGCTTAACAGCATGTAAAATTTAAATTTAAAATTGATTACAGCAAGTTGTCAGATTAAATAACGTGATTTGCTGTTGATTGTACACATAGACGTCAAGGTCGACATTAAATATAGACCTTTTCTTTCAGAACAAATACTGTTAAAGATGTAGATTCGAGTCGACACAGTCAGGCTGGCGCTTCCACTATAAAAGATGACGTAAGCATTCTATAATTTTAAAATAAAACGGTTTTTTTTTTTTTTTCTTAGCTCAACTGGTGACTGAAGTCTAGCGCCTAATTGAAAGGTCTTTGATCGATAGTATTGAAAATTGTTGATGATCCTTTTACGTCTATTCAGTATTGTTGTAAATCCAAGATGATTTACCTTATAACTTTTTATAATCCTCTCGATTTAAGATAATGTCCTAAACATTCGTCTCTATCTGCATCATAATAATTTTACACTAAAACCGCACGAGTTTAAAAATACTAATATTATTTTCAAAAATTACTGCAATATGTAGTATTCTTTTCAGTTTTGACGTTCCCTTTTGTATTTTTTTTTAATTTAGGTGCCTCAATTACCTCTCGAGGAGGAAAAAGCTGCATCAGACGGTGATGATAAAAGCTTGACTGAGGCGGAACATTCCATTGAAGTATCTTCTTTGCGTACGCGATCTAAACGATCAATACACAGGTCGGTATACATTTGGATATAATCCTTCTTTGAATACATCACGATAGTATGGAAAACATTACTGACAGAAAGATACACATAGTACCACGTTAGGTTACATGTGTATGTCAAATTTCCGAGGTTGATTTTGAACCCTACCCTTAATGTATTAAATTAAGTGGTATAAAATTAAGTAAAGTTGTTTCCTAGACAGAATCTCAAATAGAATTAAATATCTGCTTCTAATAAAAATTTCTAATGATTTTTGCATTTAACCAGAGCCAGTTCTTGTATTTGTGTAAGACAATAATATATATTAAGGTGCAATTTTTAACGTGCTAATGTTTTCAAACAGAAAACCATCTCGAACTCGTTCGTACGCGCCTACGTTGACCGAGCGTCCATCGACCGGTTTCCGCGAGGTGGCGCTACGAGCGCTCGTCGAGTTGCGAAATCGCGCCACACAATTCGCCGATAAAATGTTCATTTACCTCGATATACACCTCGTCAAGATTATCTTCGTGGCTCTCATGCTATTATGCTTGCTCAATGTGAGTTTCAGTATATTATTAACGATCATTGTATTGTATGTTGTTTTATAAGGTTATTTATATGACGACGGCAGTTTCTCTCCATCTCCGATAGGGATATCGGCTTTTATTAACTTTACCATATTTATTGTGATGACAGCCCTATGGACATATAATTTATAAAAATTTCAAGGGTCAGGTTAAACGATATTTGTTATATTGCTTTACGGCAGAGAGAGTCAGACGGACAGACAGTTAAATAGCGGAGACATACAAATAGCGTCCCATTAGTACGCTTTAAGAGTACTGTAAGTTCGGGATTAAGTTGCTCGTTTGAAAGTTACCACCAATAGAAAAGAATGCTACTGCTAATTTTTTTTAAATACAATCGTACCTAATGATGCATAGGAATTTGACATGTATAACTAATGTAAGTCGTAAAATTACGTTCAAAATTTCAGGTATGCGCGATGCACGTTCCAATTATGGTTGTTATAGCGCCAGCGCTGTGGCTCAGTTCGCGACGACAGCGAATTTGTATCCTCCTGATTTCCATCCTCATCAGTATTTACCTGATGGCAAAGATGGTCTACCAAATAGACTACATCAAACACTCTACTTTCGAAATTCAATGCGCCGCTCAAGTTAGTATATTATTTATTTGACATGGAAGAGAGAAGAGAAGTGTGTTTGTGTGACAATATATATCGCTTTGAAAATAGCTGGAAATATTTGTCGAGTCAATGTATATTTGTCTTTTTTTGTTAATTCCTTGATAAAACTAAGTATATAAGGTGTATGATCATTATATGCCAGGCCTTCGTTAAGTGGATTAGTTAAGTATAGTGAACAACTTTTACTATGGGAGCAACACTGCATTCGCGAAAAAATAATCAGCTGTTTCATACAAAATTGTAATACCTACAATCATTGACAGTATATGACATTGACATTATATGGTCTAGTGTTCGATACGATACTGCTACAGATATTGATAAAAAATCGATATCGATCGTCGAGATACGATACCGATACGGATTGCGGAGATTTAATAGAGGGTTATAAATTGTAATAAGGTTTTAATGCAGGGTCGGAGAGATAATTATATTTGATAGTTATCACGATAATTATCTCGATAAATATACCTTGATAATTATCTTGTTACAAACTCTTTTTGTACTTTAGGACTTCTTATTAGATGGGGAATTATTTGATAGTTGTTTAAAGAAACAACTATCAAATATGTTCTTCTGATAGAGAATTTTTTTTAGGATAGACCTACAAAAACAAAACAAAATATTGAAAGGCCCGTTTTATAAAAATATATTGAATATATTTAAGTAATATTTTCATTTCACTTTTTGTTCAATGTCATTTCAGTTATTTATATTTGTTCAGCTTTTTTTTGTAATTTTTATTATTTAAAGGAACAAAATAAAAGTTGAGACTATTATGAATGCCAGTCGGTATTTTAAAAATTGTTGCCAGTAACTACCTATCATAATTATTAAAAGATAATTATCATGAGCTTGATAATTATAAACCTTTTTTAAAGTTTTATTAAAACTAAAAAAAATCACGTCACAATCAGAACCACTCACAAATGAAAATCACTACTCAAGAACTTATTGCTTATATTATGCACCTTGCGAAATGGGCCATGAGAGGTGAACATTCATATAAGTTATCTGCAGTGCGTGAAATTTAAAATGTATCGGCTAATTAAAATCGTTGATTCGAAAGCTCGCAATGTCTCGATACCTATCGGTATCGGATGCGACTGAAATATATATTAAACATTTTATAGTACCTAATTTATAAGCCTCGAGTGCCTTCTAAATTTGTTTTACTTATGTAAAATTTTTAATATTACTTAGGATAATGATAACAACACCATGAATTTCACTACATACAATAACGCCGAATGGCTGGGATTCCACAAAGCTTCTAGAGTAAAACCGCTGGTCGTCTTACTGGAAGGATATATTGCCCTCATTGCCGTGTTTACCTTCCACTCCCTAGTAACTTATAGACAGCAGAATTTGAGGTTCGTATATTTATTATAGAAAAACAAGTTTAAATACCAAAGCGTTTAATAAATATTATGATATTGACTATATCACGATATCAATACACAAAAGAAATTAACATGTTTCGTAGCAAATGAAAAAAAAAAACTCATAAGATACTTTTCCAATTCTAATTTCTAAGACATAAGTATCTTTTTATATTATTATTACAAAGATAGAAGGAATCTTCCTTGAAAATATCTTTTTTTTACTTTTTTTTGAAATGTATTTTTTATTATTTTTAGAGAATTAGGACAATCCGTTAAGGACAATGATAAAATAATGTTCCCAGACATCACACGTAAAGAGGCCGACGTAGATATTATACACTGCGCTAAATATTTCATTAATTATGGATTTTATAAATTCGGTGTTGAGGTTAGTATATAAGTTTTGCCTTTTAATTATTATTTTTTTATATTTATGAAAAAATAGATGTTACTTAATTTCACAATAGTTATATTTCTATTTTTTCAGAAGAAGAGGTAAATATAGTTGGGCATTGATTACTTAATTTTATAAACTATACGATTTAAGTAATCAATACTTACCCTCGAAGCAAGTGTATTACTTTGTACTACACTTAAGGAAATAATAAAAAATTACAGGATTTTTTTTTATTGCAACGGTACAAGTCTGTGTATACACTACCGGTCGGATGAATATTTTCATAAATACCGTTCCGTTTAAAATTTTCCAAACTTAATTATACACAGAAATTAAAATAAGAAGTAAAGCCGCGTATAATGAGTTATCTTACAATAGTTTACATTTTATGCTATCATAGGTTGCTTTCTTTTGTAAAGGTTATTATTTAATGTTATTCGGAAACTTGCAGATAACCCTGATTTGCCTGATCGGTGTGATCGGTTCTCGCATGGACGTGTACGCGGTTATTTACTCTGGCTGGCTACTCGCGTTGGTATCCGTACGGCGAGCGCGGCAGGCACGTGTGTGGCCCGCCTTTACCGCGTGCGTGACCGTTCTCGTGCCGCTCCAATACATGCTCGCCGTCGGCTTCCTGCCTCAGTTGTGCGTCGCTTATCCTTGGTCCGGCGATGAACAGGTACGTCGAACTTGTTATCTAGGACATAAAGCCCATATTCGTTATAGCGTTAATTATTCTCGTGCAGCACACGTAAATTCTCGCCATCGGCTTCCTTCCTCAGTTGTGCATCACTTATCCTTGGTCCGGTGATGTACAGGTACATTGTTACCTAGGACATAAAGCCCATATTCGTCATGTGGGAACTATTCTCGTGAAGCATCAGTAAATGCTTGCCGTCGGATTCCTGCCTCAGTTGTACGTCAATTTTCCTTGGTCATTCTCTCCATCCGTGACCCGACTATTTATTATGTGACTTGACTATAAGTCGGATTCCTGCCTAAGTTGTGCGTCACTTATCCTTGGTCTGGAGATGAATAGGTACAGGCCATGGCTGTCATTGTTACCTAGGAAATAAAGTTCACATTAGCCATTTCCAAGACTGTTCCGGCACTGCTCCAGTTTGTCTTCGCTGTCGGCCTTCTGCTTGGGGTGTGTGGCCATGATCCAGTGATATTCAAGTAAGTCGCTTTACTTGACTGCTTAATTTATTTTCAAGTAACAATATTCTAGAAAATAAATTAAGCAATTACCATATCTGAGACTGTTCTGACACCGCTCTAGATCGTACTCGATATCAGTTTTCTGCCGCAGCTTTATACTACCCATAGCTCAGCGACGCTCAGGTATATACTATCATTGTTTTTCTACTATATGTATATAAGACCTTGGTGAAATATTGGTAGTATAATAGCTTTGAAATTTTTTAGCAAATGAAACATGTCCGCACATGGTTGTTCTTGCCTTACCTCGACGAGCCACCTCACGCGTTGAAGCTGGTATTCGATTACTTTTTACTGGTATTCGCGACGAGACAACTGCGTGTCTTCCGTATAGAGAAGACATACGGTGATAACTACGCAGGTGGATCTAACAGCGAAGATATAGGAAAAGATTGGGAGACGCCTAATTTCGTTAACCCAGTGCCAGACTTCTTGAGCTATGTTGGGTAAGGTGTATTATAGATTGGCTTCAATAATAATTCGTTTATTATTTATTTAACTAATACTGTTATATTATGATGTCGAAATTTTCAATTAGTTTATAAGTCATTGACGTTTAAGATCTCTTACTTCAAGGATACCTTTATATTGATTTCTTATATTTTCAAGCGCACTGTCCATAAATAAAACAATTTTTAAATGGTTTCATCGAAATTGTATTTAAATACTATGAAATTAAATACAAATTTTAAATTTTTTATGCTACTTTTTTGCTACAAGGAAGTCAAAGTGTATCAATTCTAACATTACTTAAAAAATTTAGAATAAGTAAATTCCTTATTTAATTGACACTATCGGCGAGTTGCACAAACGTCCATTAAGGTCTAATGACGCTCTTATACTCTAATGGATGTCATATTTGTATCGGTAATGACGCTTTAAACTAATGATAATTTTAATGAACGTTTATGCAACTGGCTGTATATTGTGCTCCTTTTATTATCAAATATCAAATCAATTATTGATTGGCTATATAACTTAGAAAGTAACACTCGGCAAGTCTTTTACAATAAACATTTCAAATTAAATACAAAGGTCATGCAAGTCAAATCATTATAGGAATGTCAAAAAATTAAGATTTTAACAATGTCAAGGTTATTTTTACAATTCTTAATAATCAGTTAAATTATATACAATTAAATATTATTACAAATTAAATTGTAATATATATGTACATATTATTACAAATTACATTATATAAACAGACATATAGGTAATATATAATTTTATGTCATTATATATTAATGATTTTTATATCTTGTCATTTACGTACTTCCTGCTTGTTACTTACACCCCAGTGAGGCACATTGAAAATTCGTCATGGCTAGTCGTCTAAGATATATTACTGCTCCTTTTATCATTTAAAAATATGTATTTACGCGTAAAATAAGTTGTACTCTGGACTTGCACTGATGAAACTTTTGAAAATATATGGAATAGACAAATCGTCATATAATTCTTACGTTATTGTATTTTTCTCAGAACGTGGTTGGATGTCGTCAAACGCATCGTGTTCTTGGGAATGCTGTGGGTGTCTCTGGCTATAATGTTCATGACGGGTACAAACCGTGTCAACCTATTCTCTATGGGATACCTAATAGGCTCTTTCATATTTCTATGGCAAGGAACTGACTTTTATCTACGACCGAAAGACGCTATTTTACAATGGTATAGTATACATTTAATATTCGTTGTGTTTATTTTTATTTATTATATATTTTATAAAAAGTAAAAGCGTGCACGTATATGTGATCATATAATAAGGCCCTAGTTAATCAATTTTATTACACCTATACTATACTATGTTTAGTATTTAAACCGCTGCTCAAAGATATTTTTGCGATCACCATGCATTAAATGAACTATTTAGGTCCTAAATCAACCGATTAACTTAACCGAGGCCTATAGCATCGTTCGACCGTCGGTTATATTGATTTACGTCAATTTTCTATTGTCTCTTGCTTGGATTTTATAGATTACTAGTGGACGCCCGCGACTTCGTCCGCGTGGAAGTCGGTATCCCGTGGGAGTGAGAAGTTTTCCCAGTAAAAAGTACCCTATGTGTTATTCTGATGTATAACCTATATTGCTGTAAAGTTTTATCCAAATCCGTCCAGTAGTTTTTTCGTGAAAGAGTAACAAACATCCATACATCCATACTTACAAACTTTCGCCTTTATAATATTAATAGGATTCGGAATTTTTGTAGTGTTTTAGAAATCAAAATACAGTAAGAGTAATTTTATTTTAGACTAGCTGTTTTCCCGCGACTTCGCCCGCCTTTTTATATCCTGTCACCCTCCTATGTACCTTCCTGTAGATGATTTTCAATTGGTCCAGTAATTTCGGAATCTTCGATGCAAACAAACAGATTTATCTTTCCTCTTTGTAATATTAGTATAGATACATTATCAAAATCATTATTGCATTTTATATTATACAGAAAACAAACAGCAAGATCCACCTAATACATCTATTACAAACACTTCTGTTTAGTGTCTGATTGACTTGATAATAATGTAAGAAAATCTTGGGTTTACCCGTTTGACTAGCATACCGTAATTATTATGAAAAATTTCCATGAAAACTTTTAAAACTACATTCAGTCTCTTTGTGAATGTCGTTAATTCTTCGGAAACCTAAAAAAACGAGCAGGATAATGTCGTGTGATCTAATCTCTAATGCTGTTGGTACATTGATTAAGGTGGACATGGTTGTTGCGTTACAACGTATCCGTGGTGGTGGTGAAGGCGTTACTTCAGATACCGGGCTGTATATTCAGCTCGCTGATGCAGGAACACGCCTGCTGGATAGTGCAACTCCTCGGCATTGGTTGTGTCGATAAGTTCGCTGGCGGGAACATAGCGAGGTTCATCCGCATGAACTATGTCAAGGTGAACTAAACATAATACAGTGAATATTATTATCGGATCTGAAAAATAATTCAAGCAAAGCGAAGCAAGCTAAACTTTTTTTCAAACACTTCTATGAATACTCCTAGCCAAACTGTTCAGAATATAATTAATTTTCAATGATCTAAAATGACCTTAATGAAAGTTAAATTAATTTGAATGGGATATTTTGTATCTACAATTAGCCTGTTAATAATCTGCATTTTTAAAAAGTTTCAGTCACCCTCTAACTAAGTATGAGGTTTATATGAGGGTAGGTAGTGTTTAAAAAACCGACTCGATTTTGTTTAACAAAAATACTGTTTACTAGTGTAATATTAAATAAGACAATATCACACACTGAAATCCCCATTTCAATAGCCAAATAAAAAATCGGAAACGACGAAGGTACCACAACTAACGAGAATCGAACTCTTTGTTCCACAGAAGTTTTCATAATAAATACAGAAAGCTTTTCTTAATTAAATAAGATGTCTATCGATATTTGGATATATCAACAAATTAGGGAATCACGGTGCATAAATATGAGCTGACCTTTAGATTTAATGCAACCGAATCTTCACAGGAGGCTACATGTTCAGTACCACAAGAAGATATAGGCCTCGCCTGGGACGGAGTTTGCTTTGCCTTTCTCATCTTGCAACGGAGATTATTTTACAGTTACTATTTCTATAGGGTCATAGATGAGAGCAAAGCTACTACCGTCTTAGCGTCTCGGTATGTACATTTATCTAAAGTAAAACTGTGTGTTTATCGTTTTTAGAGAAAAAAAAAACGCATCATCTTCCTCTTCCTTTCTTCATATTAAATATCAGATATTTTAAGGTTAAATTTCGTCAGTTTTGTTAGTATTTAATAACGAATATGCGAATACGAATAATAATATTAATAAATATAATATAATAAATCATTTATGTAACAGTAGTATAGTATATTAAATAAAATTTAATATGAAAAACAGAGGCGCTGAACTAATCGAGGAACTCCGTCAAAAGCAAATGCAAATACAGGAAGAACAGGAAATCAAAATATTGGAAAAGATTAAAGTGAAAATGGAAAGGATAAAGGCTAATCAGAAAAAAATACAGGGTGCTATGATGAAACCCCATCATCATGACGCCGGTAAGTTGATAAAACCATTTCGCATCTATATAACAATACGTACTACATTTAATTGAGAAGTCTTTTATTTTAGAAGGAATCATAAAAATGTCAAGTTAATGTTATCTTTCACTACAAATTACAATGAAAGAACGTTAAGATTATTTTCATATGCCGAGAAGATCAACAGCCTAACGAGATATTTTCATATGCCGATATGATCAATAGCCTAACAAGATAATTATCCTTAATGAAAAATGATTTAAAAAATTCACCAGCCCCAGATACTCTTGAGTTGGAACTCGAACCCACGACCTTTCGCAATCCGATAATTATCGTTATCAACATATAATCAATAAATCACACCATGGCAACAACATTTTTTTTAATAAGAGATATTTGCGTGTATTGACGTATGAGTGTTTGGTAACGCTGCGCCAGAGGAGGAGGAGGAGACTCAGCCGTCGGAACAAGTGCCGCTCGTGCGAGGCGACTCGGATGTTTCCCAACGCGGCTACCACACCCCCGACTCCCCCGCGTCCCCCCGCGGTTTCCATACCCCTCTCTCAGAGCCCTCCGCCCCACCCTCTCCTGTAAGGACCTCTCCCCCTGCGTCCGTGTTGCCCGCCCTCCCACCTCCTTCGCAAGGTCCCCCGTCCCCTTCCTCAGCGCTTATGACTGTATCCCTCGATGCGTACTTGGAGCCCCGGCGCATATCATTTGAGTCGCCTTCTTCGTCTGCGCGCGCGCAGAGTCCAGAAGAATCGTATCCGGTATTTTCTCCGCCGCCGATACGACGTCGCCATACGTTGGCTAGTCCGAGCCAATTGAGAACTTCGATAATATCGCAGTCGAGCCACGCGGAACCACGTTCCCATCATACCTGTAACTACTGGTGTTTTTGTTGCGCACTTGGTGTTCATGTTGCATACGTGCCGGTTAAAAATTTTCTTTCTTGAGATTTATAAACATACCGATAAATCTCAAAAGTAAATACGTATTTATTTTAATTTCAAGGTGACCGCTGGTACGATGCCCGTGAGCCTCCTATTGATATTTTTTTATATATAAAATATGAATGGGTCACAATAGCTTTAAAATTAGTTAGTAATTGAAGAATGAATTGGTTCAATTATAAAAACTGGCACGAATGTAACGAGTTCAATATTACAAAACTCACAATGAATGTTACACTGTACACTTTATGTACAGCATTTAATGAGCATTATTTATGTGTTTGTTCAATTCTTTATTTTACACTTAGGAAGTCCCGTGGTTAGGCGACGAGACTACACGAAGAGGCACGAAGGTACAGTCGTCACATTAATAGGCTGGTGTTGGCGGTGTTTGTGGCCCCTATCTCATGTCTCGTTTTGTACTATGAAAATGTCTGAGTCAGTCAAATTCATGTCTTTCAATTCTATATACTTTGCCTAGACACAAATATTCTACGTCATCTCTTCGGCCCGATTTTCCTGGTGTGAGGTTGAAAGCAATATTAACACATGACTAAGTTAGGTTATTGATTTAAAATTTACATTTACTTCTCCATTTTGATAGTCAAAATAAATAGTCAATAAACGAGTTAACATTGCTTTTGCTATCTAAACACGCCGGACTGTAATCTCACTATGTGCTTCAATAACTTGTGCATTACGGGTGGACAGTGAGCTGTTAATCATTCCACTCTATGTATAAAATACCCACACGTTCTAAATATCCCTAACGCTGGTGTGTGAGCTGTACTGTTGAGCTGTTATTTCTCTTATAGCTGGCGACACGCCGTATGTTCCGTACAAGCAGCCCTCGAGCCATCAGAAGGGTAAAGTTGAGATAATAATTCGCCGATGTATCTTATGTCATTGCAATACTAATTCCTTCGGCTTCTCGGTTACGGTATTTAGGCGTCAACAATCTGGCGGGGACTGTCTTGATTTATGTATCCATCGGTAATTGTATAGTTTTCTTGTAAAAAAAATGTAAATACAAAATCTAAGACAGTAATACGCCTTTTGCACTAGCTTCTGGTTTACGTGTAACTGCTGCTTTTGCATGCCTCGCATGTGTTTGTGAAATGTTTTTATGAATGTGTTTGTGTGTTTTATTGTATATTTTTATATGATGTTTTTTTATTTATTTCATATTTATATAAGAAAAATGATATTTTTGTTATAAATATATTTCGCGATTTAATAAATTTATATATAATTTTTTTAATAATACAATAATTATGGCTATTCATAATTCAAAATTTTAAATGTGGGGCACCTTTGGCATTTTAAACAAAATTACATATCACACATTTAACATCACGTATGTGTGCTTGTTTAAATTATATGTATATAGCTTTTGATGGATATTTTTTAAATTGACGTGATTAGAGAAAAAAGAATTGCCTTTTGCGGTATGCAAACCTAAAATTGAAATATAAATAATAAGTACTATACAGTTTTATAAATTTCTTTAGATTAGTACGAGAGACATATAAGTGTGTAGCGACTGAACGACCAGGTATATCAATTGTCTACTAATTAGTGGATATAATAGGACTTATATTTTTTGATGTTCAGATTTCAAAAAGTATTGATGATAGTAAGAGTTATTTCGATTTGAAACTTCATCTCTATTCACGTCAATATACAGTGCATAAAATTAATATTACAAACCCGTGTGCTACAAATGTTTATATTATACAGCGGTGCGATCCGGAGACTACTACATGTTTGACGAGTTTGATGACACTGACGTCCATCTCAAAGACGAGGAATCCAGTTCTGATGAAGACGCACCTAGGGAAATGGGCTTCGGCAAGGTAAGTTTCCCAGAAGCATTAAGAGAGGTGCAATGACGCATTTACTGGACCCTGTTTAAGAATTATGTATGTTTAAAAATAGGTTATATAGGTTTTGTTGTGCAACATAATAAACTAATAATTTTTAAGTATGTTCTTCAGAGTTTCGCTTGCTTTCGTAGTATCATAATATCAATCAATAAATAGCATACTAGCTGAATTACGATCAGCATTGTCTTATTTTCAGTTTTGCACTCCATATGAACGATAGCGAATTTAGCATACAATCGACACAACATGCTTTTCACTGTCATATATAATATTTAAGATTTATCATATATCTGAAGAATGACCTTAAGAGTTATTAAATTATAATCAAATAACAGACGCTCGTCGTAATAAAAAAGTGTTAAAATTGGATCGAATTATAAATATGAATATTACCGGAGTGCGTTTTTAATTCCAATGAAATGATGAACCGATGATCGTCTCACTCAGTATTCGATTTGAGTAGGTTACTTACATATAGCTCATATAAAGTCATCTTATAAGTTTAGGTTTAGTCAGGCACCATTCTCATACTTAAAATGAACTTATAGTTTGTTATAGGTTTGTTCTGTATTCCTGGTAGAGTAATGATTCAACTTATTGTCATAATGTTCGTAGATTTTTGTCTGCGTTATGACAATTTAGTTTTATAGTACTTAGTATGACAAGTATGTGTTTGTAATCGATGGATTTTATCTAATCATGGTTTAGCATTTCTTCCCAAGCATGAGTAACCTAATAAAATGAAAGCATGATCCTTGATGTCTGTGGTAAATAATGTGTTCTAAAATGTTCCCGTATGTTTTTAAAAGGAAACGTCTGGGTAAAGTTTTATTTGATAAGTATTTTTAGATTTTATATTGCACATTTTCCGCATGTAGATCCAGAGATATGGGTGCGGTATAGTTTAAGGTATAGCGACGCTTTACAGGGTTAGCGTTTCCTTTGGGCTTAATGTGACTAACTCTTGCGTTTTTCCGTAACTACTAGGACGCACACGTTAATTGTACTCCTACACGTATATATTTAAAGGGAGAAACATGAAATGAACACTTTTAGCAGTTGATTTAATATTTCAATAGAGTGAATAGTAAGTATAAGTAGCGTTGTGCGTTCTTGAGTATGATCGGTTTGGTGCGCGCTAGCTGCTGTCTACTGCGATCAAGACGGACCTGAATCGTGCCGTGTCGATGCGACGGGCGTCCGCGCCCGCAATACGCTCGCCGCGACATCTATCGCTGTCTAGCTACCCGCACTCCTATCCGCACGAGGTAACAGTTGCAATCTAATATAAATCATCTAATAGATGAGTGACTATAATGAACTATTTTCAAATATGTTACCCTGCGTAACATAAATTGCGAGGCAAACGAATCAACTAACGATTTAAGAATCGATGGCATAACTGACGTTGCTAATATCATGAAAGTTATGGAAACAGAAATTTATACGTTAATTATCTCTGGTTTTAAAATTCTTTCATCAATCAAAGTAGAATTAGAAGTGCTTTAAAATTTTCTAGCATATTGTGGAAAATGAGATTCAATTTATAAATAATGATAGGTTTGTTTGGCGATTGTATCTTCTACTGACTGACAATAAAAGGTAAAGCATGTTTACAGAGTTATAAGTGTAAAATTTAGTTTTGCAACGCATTGAAGCTTACACATTATAAGTTATCGTGTACCGCCTTCTTGCTTCCACTACACAGTTGATTTTACACTTGTAATTTTAATTTGTTTTTATGTCTGTTTTAGACATCTAGCTTATTCTGCTTGAGGTCCTTATGGTACAATTGCATGTATTTATATGGGTGTTTAGATTCGTAATATGATGTATTTATGGATGCATGACGTGTTCTTATTTATTTTTTTATTCATAACTATGTATTAATTAAATCACTAGATTACGCATCAATATCAACAACAAGTGTGAAACTGTTAAGTTATTATTTTGAATAATTTTGAACTTTATAACTTCAGACGGAACGTAGAAGATCCCAAGCAGACATCACTCAGGTTGGTGACGTTGCCTTGTCTGAGAAGGATGAAGATGCGCCCGTGTCCGAACTAGATGACATTGCGCCGTTACCTGGTTAGTAAGTCATGCATATGAACCGAAAAATATAGCTGTCGATATGAAGCATATTTTTAATATTAAAAAGAAAATAAAAAAAGTGAAAAAATGGAAAATAATTAGTTAGCTACAAATATTTTTTTCGCGATTGCTTTATTTTTTTTTTAGTAAATATTTGATTTCAAATTATTATTTTTAGCGAGAAAAAATATTTTTTCTTTGCTATATATTTTTACACATGGTTATAAATGTTTTTTGTGGAACATTAATATAACGTGCGCTTCTCTTACACTATGTTAATAAATGATCAAGGGAAGTTAGAGGTCTTTTACGATTTTCCAAGAAGTACTTGTACTACAGTCCAGTCGCCAAACAGAGGTAATTTCGTACGTTGATGTTTCTGCCTACTGCTAGTTATCGTAAATATTTTAGGTTTACTTCATTATCGCAAAATTGGCTTAATGAAGTCATTGGATATTGCGAGCGCAATAGCAACATGTCTGCAAGTGAGAGATATGTAATGTCATGCCATGGTATGAAATTCTCTTTGTTCGGCGACCGCATTACTATTTGCGTCAAAAGTTTAATAAGTCATTTTTATAGATGACACTTTGAATTAAATGTTATTTATGATATCTACAGATCAAGAGACATTGGTCGACAAGATAAAACGTTACTTGGATATAGCGTGGGCGTTGATATCCAGTCTTCTAGTGTCGATGACGCGACATCTTATGAAGTACTCGCGCGATTACCGCTACGTCTCACGTACTCTTTCTGTAGAGAAGAAAATACTCAAGGTGCGTTTATCTATTAGTTTGTAACAGATTTTCGAGATTTTGTAATAATAATTAATAACATGATAGTTTACATGTTATTTTGTCTTCACAATTTTGATGGTAGGATATTATTATATGACTATTGCCACTTGGATTTGATATGATTGGATCATAATATCTATATCAGCCCTGTTACGTCCACACTACAGGGGTTCAGGCCTTCCTTTCGGATGGACCATGACTCCAGGCGAGCCCAATGCGGATTGGAGGGTATTAACGACTGCAGATGCAGCCGGGACCAACTCCTTAACGTGCCTTCCGGAGCACGGAGTAGCTCGAAATAACAATTTTGCGGTCACCCATCCCGTCACCGACCGTTGCGAAAGTTACTTAACAATGACAATCGCGGGCCGCGGCACTTATCCACTACGCCACCGAGCTACTCAATTTTTTTATTATTACTGTATTATATTGTTAAAAAATCCTTCAATGTAAAAGTTGGCAGGGGTCTGCTGCTAAATCTTTACATATGCATATGCCCTGAGATATACTATTATTATTCAGAGATATATTTTGAAACTATAATTAGACATTAACACAGTAGACTCTATTGGCGTTATGTCAGTAGCAGTTATCATAAACCTCACAAATGACCTGTTTATTTCTAATATACCTCTTGCTAATGATTTTTAACCAAGAATGTTAGAAACTAAGAAGGAAGAGCTGTCTATTTATTTTAAATTTTTATTCTAACCAAAACTTGTATTGCCAGGAGAGAGAAGGTTTCGGCATTGGTCTAAGAGAAGGCTCACAAATGATATGGGAACCGCTGCCAGAAACGCTTGTTCATCGGTGAGTAATACATTAAGTCAGACCAAGTACTAAGTGAACTTCAATAAGACTTTGAAATGGAAGATGATAATATGAATACCAAACTCCTTTTTATTTTATTTATTAATATCATTTCCATTTTGCCCTTCATCTTAGTCAGGACTAACTGCGGAGAAAGATAGGCTATAGTACAGTCTCCAAACAGATAGAATTTTGTACGTTGATCTTTGTGCTTACTGTTAGATATCGTTAGGTGCGTAGCTAACGCCGTATCAGTATCAATTCTACAGGGCCCCCGGACCACGAGAGCCCCCCTATGTGCGTAAGCAAAAATTAGTAAAAACTTCCCAAATTTATTTTTATTTCAGAAATGGCAATAGTCAAAAAAGTATTTTTTTTTCCTGCGAAAAGCGTGTGTTTCGAAGTTGACAACACCCTACATTGGTTTTCGCGAGTTGCGGGATTTCTACGTTTAAGTTATATAATTCAACGGGGGAATCCCAAAATAATCGATGTACATACGATTAAAATTCGCAGTTTATACATTTTTGTTTTGGGTGAAATCTTTACTCTTTATAAGGGCCCCCAAACAAGTTTTTATACGCCCCTGTCGAGGCACGCTACGCCACCGAATACGTTAACATTATAGATTCACTTTACTATAGTAAAATTGGCTAGATGTTTCTGTACAAGCGCAATAGCAATATTTTTGCGCGCGAATGAAAGAAATAAGTGCCGGGTCATTGTACGAACTTCTCTCTGTTCGGCGACCGGACTACAATAAAAGTTTATACCAAAAAGTTTTACTGGAGTTCGCTAATTATGTTTACGTGTATTTTCATTAGCTTTAGTTGACGCCATGCTTGTGCATGTTTGAAAAATAATATGTAAGTGTAGTTATATAAATTGTTATATTATGAATGGTTGTTATATAGTAATAGTTGTAATTGAGTAGTATTATTGAACATTAGTTTAACGTATTTACTATTAGTGAGCAGAGTCTTGTTTTTGCATGCTGCCTAGTGTTAATGAAGTGGAATGTCGTTATGATAACAATCTTCTGATGCCGATTGTTGAAATGGGGTTTGTATATTTTGTATCAATAGTGTAGTAGTAGTTGCATATTGATAGTTTTAGATACCTGAATAATTTTTAAATTATTTTATAGTGCTAAATAGATAGTTTTTTTAGATCTTACTTGTATTTGTGATGTTTATACTAAACTTAATTTAGTAGTGAATTAGTTGATGTAGTTTACAATCTTTTATCTCGTCTTAGTTGTTCAGTTGGTCCGATATCAGACTTTAAACATGGTTTCAGAACAAAAGGGCATAATAACTCACTGTTATAGTATTTGGTGAAAAGGCTGAGCTACTGAGCTTTAATTTAAGGCTTAAAGTTTTTGTATGAAGAATTAACAGCACGTCAGGTCATCATACCAAACTATCAGATTTCTGCATTTTATTTTAAAACATAATTAATTGGTTTAGAGTTCAAAATAAACTACGGATATTTGAAATCTTGTAATTTGACGTGCTTACCATTATTTATTGATCGTTTTTGAGTATAAAAAACGAAGAGATAAAAAATTGTTATATGTATTATCAGACAAATAGCAAATGATAAGTTAACGCTTTTTCTTAGATCATAATGCAATTTCAAAAGTCTTGCTCTCGAACAAAGACGACAATGAATAATTCTATCTCCGTAAATAGAAATCAAATGGTAGTGAGCCATTTATAACACTAGATATAACCAACATTGAGGTGCAAAACGGTGACAGAGATACTGCAATGCGATCGGCTGTAAGCGTAAGTGGTTTTTGCAGCCGTAAATTAAGCGAAATAAGTGTGCCGGAGATTCGTATCCTGGCGCCGAGTATGGAACGCGGTCTGGACGCGACGCCGCCGCCGCGGCCGCCGAGTGAATCCTCGCTGCAGACCCCTATGCGGCAGGAGGACGACGATACTTCAGAACATGAGAGCGCTTTTAATACATTGCTGTGCTCTGTGAGGTACGATCGGGTAACGATTTGCACTGACACCATTTGCCAATGGGTCTCGAAATTGCGTCACATCAATAAAAAACCGGACAAGTGTGAGTCAGAATCGCACACGATGGGTTTCGTACCGAAAACGAGCAAAAAATACATGTTTAACCCGTAAATATTTGTTTAAATTTAATTTTATTATTAAATTTTAAAGTTACTATATAAATACATATTTTGTAAATATTTAAATCGCCTACCTTTTGTTTTTTTCAATATCGAGCCAAAATCACATTTTGTATTATTATTAAATATTTATTTTATTCTGGTTTTTAGTATTTCTTGTTGAAGCGGCAACAGAAATACATCAACTTAACAGCGAATACTTAGTAATAGGGTTCCCGTTTTTCGCTTTGGGTACGAAACTCTAAAAAGTGATTATTCCGAACCAATCATTATAAAAAATGGTAAAAAATTATTGATGTTTAAAACAATATAAAGGCAAAGTGAAGATTAATATGTGATAATTGAGTCTATGTTATGATTGAATTGTAATTCCTCTAACGCACATTTGCCGTGTCAAGGTACTCTGCGGACACACATAAATATGTTTGCGAACCTCCAATCACTGTATTAGAAAAGCTTCATTTTTGTACTGGCACGTCCAATGAACGAGCATGGGTTTTAGAGTGTAAGCTCGTCTATATTAAAAACGGTAATTATAAACAAATGTGGATGCAAATAATCATTAGAGCATTTAAGTTCTGCAGTCGCGAATAAACGATAGGTATAGTTTGTTAGTTACGAGACCAGTTGGTTAAAAAAACTAAAAAGTTTTCTTAATGAATTGTAGAAATATTCAAAACTTTGTAAAATTTAATTTTATCAAAAGCTCAGTAGTATATTGTGTGCCAACTTTGATCATGTTGCTGAAGACTTCAATCCGTATACATATTCTTTGGCTAAAAGTCAGTGCATTCGTTACTTTGATCTTGTCGTCGTACGCGATGGGCTACGCTGTGTCGATTTCCTTAATCTTTTCTGACTTTACGATAACTGTTTTCTAGTCTTTTAGCACTCGCATGAACAGCAGCTTTAGTCACATTCATATTTATTGTTTGTTCCTTTCTAAATTTTTAATTGTTTTTTAAAATTTTCATATAAGTTGACGACAGTTAAGATTATTATTGTATGTATGTAAGGAAGATTTCATGTATGTAAGATTTCTCACCTATTCTTGATTCACTTCTTCATTACGTAATAAATTTTATTTCGATTTATTTTTCTATCATCGTTTACTATAAAAATAGGTGTCTATTTTAACAATTAATCGTAATAAAATACTTAAAGCACATTTTTGAAAAAGCGGATTATTAGTATACAACAGCAACATAACTTTTTGAATTGGCGATAACTACTCCACTTTTAATTTATTGCTTTTTAAACACATTACAATTAACACTATTCCTTACATTATCACAAATGCCTACGGGATAATACGGGATATTGCCATATGAGATATAAAGTGACCCTGCTAGCCGGCTAATCGTCTTTTTGACAAAATTTTAGCAAAATTTAGAATCCGAAGACTTCTTTTTAAGAACATTATCGATCAAATCACCTTTCAAAAGAAACAAAACAATGATTTTGTGTTTATCCGTAATGCCCAAGATACATGAGGCTAGGTTTCCAAGCCAAGATTGCAAGATAGTGCTAATTGACTAGTAAGCTAGTTCTAGTGAATTAGCGAACTAGTGCCTTTATAAGGGGTAAAGTAATAATACTACTACGTTTAACTTAGGCTCAATAACCTAGAATACAAGACAATATAATCGGTAATGTATACAAGAAGCTTGCTATCCTGACTTGAAAACCTAGCTTCGTGTATCTCGGGTACCACGACTTTACCATGCATTAACAAACTAGTTATACAGATACACATGTCAAAATTATAACACATACCTTTTTCTGTAGAAGGAGAAGTCTATATGATCATTTTTTCACCACCAAAAGGGTCTATTAAAATTGGTTTTGAATTACAGCAAGGACGTGACGATCTTGGAAGAGCAAGACGACTCTATGTTCAGACAGGACAAATCGCCGTTCGTACATCTGGCGTATGCACTTTGGTACGCAGTACTTGCGCACACTGACATCGTTTGCTATCTCATGGTTTTCATCAATCAGGTATAGTTGATATTTTAGTTAAATCTCAATAGAAAATAAGTATTTGACTTTTATAACTTTGAATTAACTTCACAATTTTCATGTTGGAAGATGTCATAATTAATATCAGAAATAATGTCTATATGATTTTTGAAACTTTGATTTATCATAAACGTAAAACATATAATTATTAATTAATATAGACATTTTTGTTGATAAAAATTAAAATCAGCGCCATCTATTAATCAGATAAAAATAATAAAACCTTAAAATTGCGAATAGACATCACAGTTTTGTAAACTATAAATCAAACGTGTCGCTTGTGTGGCCAATACCCTTAAGTTTTGTTAGAATTTTAAATATGTAAAATTACTATGCGTGATAGTTATTACACTGATGAGCTTACGAGACTTTATATTTCAGATACAATCGGCGACTATTCTTTCGATACCGCTACCTCTTATGGTGTTCTTATGGGGAACTCTCACAATACCACGACCCACAAAAACTTTCTGGGTCACACTCATTGCTTACACAGAGGTACATTTGCTTTTCTAAATCAAGTTTCCTTTATTTATGATATTATGTTTTTATTTTATGTATGTTTTTTTTTTCAGGTTATAGTGCTAATAAAGAGTATGTTCCAATTTGAGATTTTGCCTTGGAATCAGAAAGCCATACCAGCGAATATGCCATTCACGGCTCCTCGAATCATCGGTATTGAGAGGAAACGCAACTACGCTCTTTACGATTTGTTGTTATTACTCATTATATTCTTCCACAGGTAAAGATTGTGATTATTTACCATAGAGATTATTATAAGGTATTATTATAATTTTTTTTATTTATTTACAATGGGCTCACTCATGACCTCATACTAGCCTAAGGACATAGAAGAAATCTACGGTGGGACGAGCTTATGTGCCAAGATTTCGTGGAGTGGACGAGTTAAATATACTGAACAACTTTTACTATAGGATCAACATTTAATTCACGAAATTATAATCAGCTGTTTCACACAAAATTGATATTTATTACCTACAATCACTGACTGTGATAGTATAACTTTGGTAGTTAATAATATATATTTCGTTGGTGAAAGTTGATATTACTTTTATGCATTTCATGTTAAAGGTTTATGCTGAAATCGCTAGGCCTGTGGAAGGAATCATCGCCAGAGGTGGAGCTCCACGAAGACATGGAGTATCCTCTGAGCCCTGAAGATACACAGTTGGTGATCGAAGGTCGCACGGAGGAGGTTGGCCGTAAATATATCCAGCTTCACGATCGGACCGGACCGTGAGTGATACTTTATAATAGTTATCTCATAGGAATTTTGAGGAAACTTTGACGAATCTACCTGCTGCATTTTGAGCGTTAGCTTTTTAGATAGAGAAGAAACATTCTTTCTCTATCTCTTTCTCTTATCTGCTCTTGATTTAGTACAATATTCTGTTTTAGTTCTTGTATATTTAATAGAGTTTATATATTAATGCTTGTCTACTCTCTCAATTTATTAATTCGACTATGAAGATACTAGAGTAATTGTCTACATAAGATGCATGCCATTTGCAGTACATCTTACTTAGAAAAACTAATTGTACTATATTATTAATAAAACATCAGCAACCTTGCAAAAGGAGTGCGACCGCACAACTCTCTAGGATGTGGCATCTTAGCGATGTTGTGGAGATATTTCGTTTCATAATAGCAACTTTGATTCTCAATTTGAATCTACCGTTCAATCTAAAGAATGAAATCAATTCGGTGCCCGAATTAAATTCAAATTTGATGCATATTTCATTTAGCTGCGCGGTAAACTAACTAAGGTTTATTATACGTATTCAATGGTAGAAAGGCACCAAATCGAAAAAAAAAAACTTCGACGTTCGCTCGTTTTGTCCCTTGAACGTATACGTTGTACGCATACGTTATACGCTCGTGTTGACGTGTGAGAGGTCTCAGACAGTCGTCACCGCCTCGTGGACCGCTGGTATTACGTGCAGGAGACGATCACGTCGGCCATGCGCGAGCTCGGCGCGAGACGTTCCGATCCGCGCGTCGCTCTACTCGTGTGGCAACGTTTGCAGCAGCGCGGCTCGTTGCGATCTAAACGCAGTACACGGTAGAAACATTCCTACAAAGTAGTTCGACATTAGTCATTGCGTATACTCGTACGGATTCACTTGACACTTGAAGGCCCGATGGAAAGTTCAGTTTCTATGAAAACTAAAGTAAAGGCCGAAAATCAGCACTTTGCTGCTTGAGCAAAGGAATCGTTCAGCTTTTACCCTTTTGCATTGTTGTGGCGCACACGTAAAAGCGGATGCTTTTTAATAATGCAAATAAATGAATTATCTATCCTTCTAAAATGAAATTTCGCCTACTTTGGAAACGCTAATGTGACATTAAATAAAGGCATGTTTGGATAATTTATGTCGCAACTGATGTAAGACCAGAGACTGCCTCTGGTGCGGAGATAATTCTCACAAATTTTAACAAAATTATTACTATTATATTTGATAAATTTTGCATTCGTGCTTTGCTGAAAAATATTCTCAATGAGAAATGCTTAAAAAACCAACTTTGTGCCCGGCTAGGTGGGTCTAGAACCCATGACCTTTCGCAAACCAGGCGACTGCTCTAATCACTGAGCTACCGTGACTGACGGCAGTACCTAACAGGACTGACGAATTCTTCAAGCATTTGTTACTATTTCGCTACTACAGAGAGTATTTTCATCAGTCTATTGGAAAATTTCCGAATATGCGTTCGAGGATAAATAGAATAAGCCCTCAGGTGTCATGTTAATACAAGTTATAATTTATATTGAAACTAGAATAGGTTATGTAAACTTTGGGTAGACAAAATCGAAGTAGGAAGATATATGTACTGTAGCTTATTGATAAGTGACGACACTAGTAAACAATATAACATCATTCTGTAAGTAGCATCTAAAGTACGGCATAAAGTCATCCACGGCAAATGACAATCAGATAGAATGTTGTAAGTATCGCGCCGTTGGGAGATTCGTGTGAGTGATACTGACTTCTAAAGTAATAATATCTACTTATTATTTTTATTTTTTTATATTTATTTATTTATTAATATTTTACACCTTATTGTTATTGAAACATATCCATTAGTCATATATTCGATCATCGTCGGAATTAATAGGTCGGCACTACGCAAACGAAATTTCACCAGGATATTAGTAGAATCTTACTCTACGACGATTATTTTTTTTATTAGATTAACGGTTAGTTGCACAAATGCCCATTAAGGTTTAATGACGAGTTTAAACTCTAATGAATATTTTAAATTTGAAAATTTGTATCGGTAATGTCGCTTTAAACAAATGACTATTTAAATGGGCTTCTATGCAACTGGGTGTTAGTATATTTATTTAATGAGCCGTATGTTTGCTTTTAGTTGTATCAAGAAATCTAGTTATGATTAGAAATTAAGTATATCTATCGTTAATAATCATATTTTCGTTATAAAACCTATAGGTCGTTACTACAATGATAGATGTATGTAGTTTATGCAACATTTAAAAACATAAAGTGAACAGTATGTAGTGGTATATATTAAATATGAAGATACTTCCAGCTTTATAATTGTACTGTCTGATGTATTAATGTTATAATGTGCCTAGTATTTCTATTGCATTGTTACAATATAACTAGATTTAAGGTAAACTCTTTCTTATTAACTTTTTCAGTGTTTTTTATTTCATTCTTTTGCTATAACGCTAATATTAGCGTACGAAAAAATTACTATATAACTAATTTTAACCCGTGAGCTTAAGCGATATTAACATAATAAAAGTATACTGAGTATAACAATGAACGAAAATCTATAATTTAATCCTTTTAATGTCATTAACAAGGATTTCTAAAGGCATAAATATGTGCGAGAAGGTAAATGATTGTGTTTTCTTTTCTAAATTTAGTTAAATAAATGTTTGCTTTTAGGCAAAAGAAAACAGACGAAAACGGTGCTATGGGTTTGCAACAGGAACATATCGATAAGTCTGACCGTAACCTGTATGATTACACGCAAGAGGCAGGCCCATCCAAGGCAGACGACGGCGATTACAAGTAATCAATGTTTTTTTTTTTATTATAATGCAATGTACAGTTGACTTGAGAGGAGTTCTATGTAATAGTTGTTAGCGCGTTTGGAATACGAAAAAAGTAACTCTTGTAATGGCTGGTCAAAGAATGGGTAAACATAAATTTACTATATCGAACTTCGCCGTACTTCGGAGAGTACTTTAAGACGTTGGTCTCAGTTACATCTGTAGTCTTTAACACCTTGTAATCCGTAATGGACCCGCGTGGTGGGTCATGGCTCTTTACCTTTATTCTATTCATAGGGAAAGCCTGTGCTCCCTGTGAAATTTTCGCATTTTTGAAAACCGTAGTCCGTATACAATTACATTATTAAAAACAATTCTCAAATATAATCACTTTTATTTATTTTCTTAATTATTTAATTTCTTATAAAAAAAAAATATTTGCGTATTGTTTTACATGTTCAATGTATTTATATTTTCAGGTTCAATGACGACCAGGAGCCTATAATTGCTGTGACGACAACATTAGAACACACATATAATCACTTTCCTCAAGTCATTATGCTATCGTAAGTTGCTACTTATTTCATGTACATCACACAGTGGTCTAAAACTTTTATAAATCAGTAGTACTATTGGCACAATTATAATATTTTCCCAGCATCACCCTGTCTCCTTAAGAGGAACTAATATTTCCAATACAAAATTCCACATATCTGCTCGACGGCAATCCCTATTTCCCTTGGTCACGCCATTTGGCTGCACCAATTTCATTGTGTTTGTTATTGTCAGGTTCTTATGAAAGATAAAAATTAGAAAATTGTGTGTTGAAAATTTAAGAATATTTAACCACCATTTAAGTTATTTCTAATGTAATCTTAGTGCTTTGGATAGTATAAACTTATAATGTATCCTTATGACATTTGACATAGAATTGACAGAATGCGTGCTACAAATATCGTCAAATAGGATGTAAAAAAGTTCAATAGACTTCAATATTCACAAATATGACAGGACAACGTCTGTCGGGTCAGCTAGTTAAAAATAATTACATATGCCTATTTGTGGAGATTTGTAATTAGCATAAGAATAATTTACTATGTAACCTAATGTTAATATTTGTCTGCAAATCTCCCTAAAAATAAATAAATAAATACATACAGTGTGAAGCGGTATTTGCGTCCGATGCAGCGGTTCTTCAAGCGCATGCTCGCTCCGGGAGCGCGCGTCACCGCTGACGTGTACGCGTACATGTTCCTCTGCGACTTCGTCAACTTTCTAGTTGTCATTTTCGGCTTCGCTGCTTTTGGGGTGAGTGGAGTTTTATTTAATTTCAAGTCGGGCTAAACAATAAGTTTTCGATGTAGTTGAACCACTTAAATTAAAAAGCATACCAGTCATATACCTATATGCACAAACGTCCACTGAGTTTTAATCTCATACAAGACGGTGAAGATATTCAAATATTTTATTTTAAGATGCTATCATACACGGCTTAGATACAATAATATGAAAATATTATCTTAGTGTTGGGTCATTGGGTTATATGGAGTGCGATATTTTATCTGAAGATATAATATTATAGCATCTTCACCGTCTGTTTTGAGCTTTAACGACGACTATCAGCTCTAATGAATGTTCTGTGTGCTAATTGTCTAATTTCAAAATCTATTGCAATCCCTTTCAAAGAAATGCGATTGTAATAACGATTTATGGAATTATGTAACGTTTAAAGTCGCAATCGGTTTCGAAACGAATGTTCAAGAAACATAATTTAAACCAGGGCTCGGAAACGTTATTCAAAATAGCGTTTTTAAAACTTTTTTTGGCAAGATTGCGTTCGAAACGAAAACGAAATGAGAACGCTTTAAAAAACCGGTTTAATCCGCAAGACGGTGCCGCGCGGGCTGTAAGGGCGGCGTACATTTATTTTATTACGTTATTTACAGTATGCGATGCAAAAAAACGCAAAATAATTGGTTAAATACGTTTTATTAACCGAAAAAAATATAATTCTGATTTTTTCCAAAATCGTTTTTTATATCGTTCTGTTCGAACGAAACCGAAACAAAGTGTTTTTTAGGTATTTAAGATGAAAACGTTTCGAAAAATATACCGGTTTCCGACCCCTGATTTAAACTTAGTAACATAAATTTATATTTGCGCCCTGGATAATTCTAATTGACGTCAAATCGACAGTATCTTTAATTCAATATCTTTCAAAAACTTTGCGATCGCAATCGCTATCACATGCCTTTGTAGTGTGAAGTTCGTAAATATCTTTGAAATTTTAATATGCAAGGGATTTGATAGATTTTTAAATCAGACAATCAGGCCCCTGAATTTTTGTATCGGTAATGTCGCTTTAAACTTATGACAATTTTAATAGACGTATGTGCAACTGGATGTTGCAATTATAATAGAGTACATGATAATAACATTTTTACATTGATTCTTAAAGTTGTTTTTATCTTCCGCATAGACGCACCAAGGCGACGGCGGAGTACAAGCTTATTTGGAAGAGAACAAAGTGCCGATACCGTTTCTGATCATGTTGATACTTCAGTTCGGACTGATAGTGATAGACCGAGCTCTATACTTACGTAAATTCATGCTCGGCAAGATCTTGTTTCAATACGCCCTCATCATTGGAGTGCATATATGGATGTTCTTTGTACTACCGTTCATTACTGAGAGGTAAATTTTTGTGGCTGAATGATAGATACTATTTTTTTATTCAATAATATTTAATTACCTTCATGTCTTCTTTAGATACCTATTAACTGAACTACTTCCCTTACCACTTCATTACTTTTGTTATAGAGATTATTAGATTTTATCACGTCAAGATTCAGACATGTTTTTTGTTTCTTATAATTTATAATAAATTCGACTATTACTTCGTATTCAATATACAAAATGCTTAGATAGGTTTATTCTACTAACAAAACATTTCGGTTTTCTTATTCTTCGTTCATTCCTTCGTTTCATTAATTCATTCAAAATAGTTTATATTGCGTATTTTCACTTGTATGCAATATCCTAATTGTTAATTTTGTTTTGCAATTATTTTTCAAATGAACATTACGTGTACAGGACGTTTAATACGCTACCTCCGCCGCCGATGTGGTATATGGTGAAGTGTATATACCTGCTGCTATCCGCGCACCAGATACGGTGCGGTTACCCTAGACGTATAATCGGCAACTTCCTCTGCAAGTCCTATCGTTTCCTCAACATGATATGCTTCAGAGGGTAACTATACTATTAACTGTTTGTAACAATTCTAGCCTTCGTGTAGTATCCATTTCATATTATGAAAGTATTTTTATATTAAACGATGTCATGATTTTTAGGGTTTCATATTCAAAGGGAGACAATGGGATCCTATTACTAAGACTTCGTTGTCCGTCTGTGTGTCACTCATGAACCGTGGTAGTTAGACAGTTGAATTTTGTACAGATTATGTATTTCTGTTTCCGTTACAATAAATCCTAAAAACAAAATACAATAAATATTTAAGGGGCTCCCGTCAAATAAACGTGATTTGTTTTTTATAAATTTGTTTCATTCCCTTCGTGCGCGAGTCCAACTCGCAATAAGCCAGTTTTTTATTCTAGAGTCGTTTGGTAACTTGTATATTGATGTTGTTACTTAGTGGGTATAGTATTTTTATATTTTGTGTATAATGTGTTAGAGCGTTTCAATGGCTTAGGCTTTAGCGTGGTTATAAGATGTGTGATAAAAAAATCACCACGCTAGCTATTCCTCAGGCTCCATCGGAAGCTATGTTACTGCCAATTCACATTGGGCCCGCTTGATAGATTATGGTATGATAATAAAAAAAAAATGTTTATAGTTTCATGGCGGTTCCATTCCTCTTCGAACTGCGCACCCTCATGGACTGGATATGGACTGACACCTCGATGACACTCATGGACTGGCTGAAAATGGAAGATATATTCGCAAGCGTTTTCTTACTAAAGGTAAATACTAAAACTTGCAGATAATTATCTTTCTGTTGGCATACTCGCTGATGTATATTTAGTAATTTTAATGTTCTAATTTCATTATATATTGGTTATTTTGTATTATTACACTATTATTAAATCTGCCTTTGTACTTTAGTGCATAAAGTATTAAATAAATAAATAAATAAATTATACATTTTTTTGATAAAGTAGAATAATTGAGGTAACTAGTATCTGAAATGTAGGTAGTCCTTAAACTTTCAATCGAACATCTAACGTCAAAGTCCGATTAAGTACTGGCAAGGTTACTTGCATAAATTTATACGTGCTTACAGAATGTTCACCGATATATTTGTTTGTATAGTGTTCCCGTTACGTAGAAGACGAGTTTCCTCAGCCGCGTGGCGTAAAGAAATCTAGTACAAGCAAATATCTACTAGGAGGCGGAGTCCTGGCGTTTGTTATAGCCATCATATGGTTCCCGCTGGTGTTCTTCGCGTTCGGAAATACTGTGAGTTGTTAGAGTAAAAGGCTGTGCCTGCAAAATCGTATAATTAAGACGGTCTATATACGGATGCTACTGGACCTTGTTCCAGGCTGGATTGACATTTTTAGTAATCTTAATAATATTCATAATGAACAAAGCTTAAAAAATTCACTCCGTCCCTGGCACTCTGAGACTCGAATCCACGATCTTTCGTAATCGGAGCGACCGTTTCGTACCACTGAGCTACACAGGACACAACAGGACCGATGAACTCTTCAACTACCCGTTACTTTTTCGCTACTACAGAGCGTTTTTTTTTATCAATGTTCTGGCAATTCACCCAAATAGCTGAAAGAAATATTTTTATAATTGGATTTGATTGATCACAATTGATTTTGTGATCAATCAAATCACGGAGATTGATCACGGAGTGGATTTTTTAAAGCATTTTTCAGTTATGGACTGTGCTATTACGATATAGGTAATCATAAAAATATAAACAAAAATTATTTTAAGTAACGATACTAGATATAGGTATATCATACCTATATATGCATGACTATCAGTAATATAATAAACATTGTATTAAAAGAGTATTTTAGCACACATTTTCTATTAGTGTTATCGATTATTGAGTCTAAATGATATATACATTACTCCATTTTAGAGTACGGTTGGTAACCCTAGGTGAGACACAATGCGTAACCATAGCAACGCAATATAGTCCATGATTTTACTTGCACGGAATATCGCCATTTTGGTTCAACTTACGTGTTGACCGTTAAAATAGTTGTCATTTATATTTTTCTGGTTTTGTTAACTTCGTATATAGAAATTGTAAATAAAACTGTTTTATGTCCTTGTAGGTTGGCGAGCCTAACCCTCCCACTGATGTTACCGTGAAAATTCGCATCGGACCTTTCCTTCCCGTCTATCAGATGTCAGCACAATCACACAATATTGACCTGTAAGTTCAACATACCTTTATTGCTTTTTAAATGAAAAACGACGTATTTTAAAAGTAGAAGTCATTTTGACAGTCTTCTCAGAATGTATTTTTATGATCAGAAACATTAAGCATAATTTCGCTTCCTTTTTAGCGTAATCTGTGCTTAATTTTTTTTTATATACAGCTATATTTAATGAGTTACAACCAAATGGAATAGATTGCTTTGAAGAGATTGTTTTTTAGCAATAGACTCATTTTGTTTAATCCATCATGATATAATAAAAATTAACGTTGTAAAATGTGTCTTATATTAAGTGCAATAAAGTACATTATAATTATTAAATCTTTACAAGGTTTGACGAGCAAGATTACACCCAGTTGAGTAATATATACGCTCGTGATCGCACCGCTCAGACATTCCTATCGAACTACGTATACAATGATGTCGCTGTCATAACAATCAATCCCAACTCTACTATGAACTGGGAGATATCACCCCCAGAACTAGACAGACTCGAGAGAGAGGCAGTTTCTGGTAAGTTTATCTTTCTTCCCATGTTTAACTTTATTTGGTAATTAATAATGCTCCAATTTTATACATATTACTTCTTAAGATTCAATAAGACACTACTTCAATCAACTAAGATTCCTGATTCTGTCTACCTAATGTAATTTTAAATCTCAATTACATTAGGTAGACAGAATCAGGAATCTTAGTTTTCTTTTTTTCTTTTTTTTTATTGTTGCACGACAAAGTGACTGTAATACACCTGGTGGGAAGTGATATTACAGTCTAATAATAGTCGCAGCTGTCAAAAGTCGAAACTACTCCTGGTAGCCACCACTATCTTGCCGGCCTATTTAAGAGCCTTTTCACACCTCTTTTGAAGCACCCAAGGTTATATTTAATGGGAAAAATGTGGGATGGGAGACTGTTCCAAATTTTAATGGTACGGCAAATATATGATTTGCCGAATTTTTTTGTACGAGATGGTATAGTACAAACAGTCTGGGAATGGCAGCGAGCACCGGCACGTGTCAACCTGTTACGGAAGGAGGAGTTAGTTAGTTGATTTATATGCTTTATATGATTGAGATAGTATAACTATTTATCGTGACCGGTATGTTTTACGTATAAATACATTGACTACTGTTTAGTAGAAAAAAAAAAAACAAAATGCACTCAACATTCAATACTGTATTGACCGTTGAGTACATTTATTGCATCTAATGCCAACCAAATAGTCGATGTTCTCAAGCTTAAATTTAAGTGATCGTTATATGATAGATCAGATTGTTTTCATCACTATTTGCACATGAAAACTTGCGCAAGCGCATATTTATAAGCGTATATTCACCCGGTTTTTAACGTCGACAGAGGAACCTTTAATGGTGAAGTTCACGTACGTTATAACGCACCCTACAAACGCGGTACCAAACCCACCGACTATAGAAGATTTCCGGGAAGTGTCCCTGGAGGCAAAGATAGACGGGAAACCGAATCCGGAGAGAGAGACGTTGCTCAAACTACTTGCTGGCACCGCGCCGCCGGACACATGGTATATGTTCTTATTTTTTTAAGGTTCCGTTATTTAAAAATTTCTCACAACGCATTGTGATCACAAAAAAATATCCACATAGCGAAATTCGTGTTATGGCTCTAATTAAAAGGCTTACGACCTTTGAAGGCGCAACGTGTTGGGGGATAAAGAAAAGCCACGACGCGACGCAAATTTTGGTCACGAGCATCTTCGTTAAACCAAAATTTTATTATATTTTGATATGCAAATGTACATAATACTTGAGCTAATTGCCTAATTTTAGCTTTAATGCATATTACCTAAGCCATTTCTTGTCAAATTGAAGAACAAAAATACCTATCTGATATATTTATATTATCTGACTGACGGCATAAATAGAAATCTTTTTTTTTTTACTCATGTATGATCCCTATTAGCCCACCCCCCTCTATTCATAATATATTTGTTATCCTTTTACAGGTTGAACGTACCTATGCTGTTCCCAAAGTTTCTGAAAGTTTTCAATAAAGGTACAGCAAAACCTGCGTACCAGTTAATGCCTCAGCTGATACCTGATGGTGGTAAGTTTATTTAATATTTGATTTGTAAAAGATGATTAGCTGGGCTCAGAAAGAAGAGTAGCTCGGTGGCGCACAGTTGGGTCATTATCAAAAGTCACATTTGACATCTATCAATTATGATCTTGATAGTGAGGCCTTCTTTAAATTTTCGATTAATAGATACAACGCCCGTTGCACAAACGTCCATTAACTTTTCATTAGTTTAAAGCGAAATTAACCATACAAATTTGACATTAATTAGAGCTTAACGGCTTCATTAATCCTTAATGGGCGTTTGTGCAACTGACCCACAGTTTTTAAAAGAAATGTGAATCGAATAAAGTTATTGTGCAAAAAAAACACAAATTTTATGATTGATTTATTAAATTATGTATTGTGTCGATATTGCAACAAGAACAACAGAATAAAATCACAGATAATAAATGAAAAATACACAAATTAGTTATTGCTGAGTGTAATGCAAAAACTAAAGAGTGAAATAAATCTAAAACACCTTTGTATCTCATTGTCCATTGCAAATAGACAGGGATAGAGGATGTGGAACAAATTTCATTGTAAACTGCTGCATGATTCCATTGGTCACAGAGTGATTTATCTGTTTACGAATTTTTCTAATAAAAAATATTACAATTTAATTACAAAGTTAGTGGCTTTTGGTGTAGGGGCTCTCGTCGTCGAGCACAGCGCTAGGACAGTATAGAGCTTCAATTAAAAAAGCCTAAAATGCCTTTTGAAGAAAGATTACCATAATTTTTTTAACAGAAAAGCATGGCCAAAGTATTGCATTTTTAATGTATATCTATAAAAATATGGTTTTCACGCTTCAAACCGTATAGCAGGTTGAACGCTCGGCCTTACATTTAACAATAATCGTAATAGTTTGCGAATATTATAATGATAGTAATTTACACGATGTACGTGATTAACGCTATGTAACTCAGCGCTGGATTAATAAAACTCGCCGTCTTAAGCAAAACACTGGAATGACGCCCATAAAAAAACTTATATTTTGATGACCACAGAGTAACTGAAATCTTGCTCTTTCGAGTTTCGTTCGTTACTTTAAGAGGACCATGAATTAATGAAGGTTTACAAACAAGATAAAGTTTGCGTTTTTGATACATAATTCTTCATCCTCTATCCCTATCTATCTCATAACCGGGCGCAATGAGATTGTTGGAGATAGTATCTTGTCTCGATGCCCACTTTTAAGAAACGATGCGGTAATCAATAAACAATTTTTCTTATTATATTCCTTTAGGCCCAGACAGTAGGTTGTATCGCGACGTGCAACTGCGATTGGAAAGGGACGGCGATACCAAATATTGGCGTGTGCGAGAGTCATGCTCGCCAAAGGTAAGCGACAGCTACGTCAGGTAGGCAATTGTAATAACAATCGGCCTAATTTCTGCAATCGATTGTGAGCCTTAATATGTTGTCAGTTAAGTTCAAAATTGATTGCACAATATATGGCCTTTGGTAGAGGAAAGTCAGGACTTTCTTACACTTTGCACATTTTTTTTTAAGTTTCTCTAAATAGTTCTTGCGAAGCATGAAACACTTCTACGAAATCATATCGAGTTAATTCATCAATTAATATTATGATTAATCTTAATTTTAAATCTTAATTCGAAGTCAATTACAGAAAATTGACATATTGCGGTGACCTGCTGTGGGGCCGCCTTTGACTTTGACTTTGTAAGTCACTTCGCGTCGTTACCCAAATTAATATATGATCACTTCTTTTCCAGGATCCTCTGTTGTCAATTCCAATGAATAACTGTGACATGCTTATAATGTATACGTTCAACGATAAATTATTCCCGGAGACTCTTAAATTTATATCTGGAAGTGGGTAAGTGCATAATACCACTTTTTAAGTTTAATTGCACATTTATGGCAAGTTATTTGATGTAATAATCTTATACTAATACGAAATTAGTAAAATTTTGTATTAGTCTAAGATACTATCAAGTCTTTGTAATGTGGGTACATTTTTATTTGTAAAATTTCAGGAAGGAAAACACTTTTTACCAACTTTTATATTGAGTTTAATAGAAAAAAAAATAGATTTAACCATCCCAAGTATCCGAGACTGAAGTGGACCAGTCTCCGTGGCAAGACAACCTCGAAACTCGAGAAACGAACTGTTTCTCGAGCCTCTCAATCACTTCTAGAGTACCTCGAGCGTTTCTAGAGTTTAACGATCATTTCTAGTTTCGAGAGTTTTTAGTCTCTCGAGCATTTCTTGAGTCTCAAGTTCGTCTTGTTACATGTGCTACTAAGCAGTCGCTCGATTATAGAAAGGTTATGAACTCCAATCCAATCTCGGGTACATGTGAAGATGACGGTTCAGTTTTTTAAGTATTTATTTTACAGGATAAATATTAACATAACGTTATGAATGCATGTTTATAACTTGCATTGTTACATAAATAAATATTAAAGATAACATCCATATTGTTTTGTATGTGCAGAATCATCGGGCTGTACACAACATTTGTATTTTTGGCGTCGCGCGTGTTGCGCGGTTTCTTCTCCGGCATTTATACTAAGATCATGTTCGACGATCTGCCCAACGTCGACCGCGTGTTACAACTTTGCCTCGATATTTATTTGGTTTGTAATTTTTTTATTTCATTCTGGCAACACCAATTTTATCAGTTCTGAAGACCCGTTAAATACAATTAAACACATGGAATGATCTTACTACAGAAACACTGTTGACAATTTTCAATCAATATCAATCGTTAATGCTTTTTCATTTAAGTTCAAAATAGCTTGCAATTTTCTTTTTAATTTACCGGCAATCTGATGTTTCATACTGTATTGCTTAGAAACGTCATTTAGTTTGGAAATTACAATAAAAATAAAACTCATTTACGACTTTCTTGGCCGAGTAGCTTGCACATCGTTGCTCTGAAGTTACAGCTTTAGTTCCCTTTCGGATTAGTTTAAAAACGAGATTCTATATTGCCTTAGTATCTTGGAGTTGTGTTAATTGTTTCAGATTTCCGTAACATAAGGGTTTTGGTTACTTGATTTAGAATCTGACGTATGTATGTGATATGTAATATTAATTATTTGTAGGTGCGCGAGGCTCTTGAATTGGCGCTAGAAGAGGACTTATTCGCGAAATTAGTGTTCCTGTATAGATCTCCCGAAACTATGATAAAATGGAGTAGACCGAAAGAAGAAAACGAAGACCAAAGGGCACTTCCACCTTCACGCTGAAACATTTGAAGAGTTGGAATCCAAGATGATTAAGATAATTGTTGAAAAAGAGCTTCGTGCTCCATAAAAGAACTACTATTAAATACGACAACTGTAATAAAACCTAACGAGCGTACGAACATGTATTTTAAGCTCATAAGTACAAGCTAATCGGGCCTACGGATTCTTAACCGGAATTTTACGTCCTTTTTAAACAATGTATAAGTATATTAAACATCCCACTATCTGGCAAATTTGTTAGCTACGTAAGTTGTACAGATATTATTTTAAGAATAACAGCAACACTATAAAATTGAATTTCGAATTATAACTTATTGTTAGATGGTACACTTTCAGTCACTTAAGTAGCATATTTTTTGGTGTAATTACTTTTATATATTATTTGTATATTTTATGAAATCAATCATGTGAAATTAAATATATGTATACATACTTTGAAGTTATCGAATATTATCATGAATTAGCTTAAACACTCGCAATTTCTACTTGTTAATTAATGTAAATTATAAGTAAATGCATTGCCAGTGATTACTGCACGCTCTCTTATTGATCGGTTAGGCCTTTCTGCTGATACTAGGCTACTAAATGTTAGAATTATTTAACTTTAAATATTTTATAAAAATCAATTATTATCAATCAATACAGAAATCTGAGAAGCGATTCTTCTTCCATTATTAAGAATAAAATAAATTTGAAAAAAAAAAATACTATAAACAAATTGCTATTTATAAAATTGTCATAAAGGTTTAGCAAATAGAGAATATGAATGTTAAAAATAATGCCAGGTTTTCCAGTGAAAGAAAACGTTTCTCACACAAGATGCTTGTAAATGATTTAAATAAAACTTATTGGCTTAAAGTAATACCTATGTAATGAAATTGGTCAACTTTCAAAGGTTTTGCTTATACATACCCGGCTGGTTTTAGTTATTTTTGTTATAAGTACATAAATATATTTTCCTGTTACTAACTTTCATATTTTGATGAATGTTGCACAAACTTGTATACTTTTAAATTACAATAAATAAAGTACACTTCCATTACCTATATATTGAATCAAATATACCTCAGTCTTTCAAGTCACCTCAGTCTTGAATTGCATTTGATATAGGTATTTATAAATTATAAAGTAAGTTATACACTTTTGTATCATTGTTATGTTTTAAGCTGCATTTATATGTTGTCAATTTGTGATAATAAAAGTCGTATGAAGTGTTTGAAAATTTTATTGATTTGAACCAAAAAATGAAATAATCATAACTACAGCTAACACAATACATTATAATAAAGAAATTATACTTAACTCACTACCATTAATCTTGGCGCGATATTCATAGACATTAATTCCTGGAATAGTAATTTTGCAGCATATGGGAGACGAATTTGAGATATTTGAGTTTTGTTTTTACAGCCTTTGCATTCAAATGTATTATTTCTCAGGTTGGCTATTGCTATCAATCCGCAGAAATTACAAACATGTATTCTGTAAGGATCTGAGACTTCAAACAGTCTTTCTCGCAGAAATTGGGCAGCACCATGAGCAATTTGGCAATCACGTTCCATCTCACCGAAACGTAGTCCGCCATCCCTGGCCCTGCCCTCCATAGGTTGACGAACCAAAATCTGCACTGGCCCTCTAGCTCTGGAGTGAATTTTGTCATCTACCATATGTTTTAGACGTTGATAATATGTCGGGCCAAGAAATACTTGAGCGTTAATCTTTCTGCCTGTATGCCCATTATACATAACTTCATTGCCACGTAAATGATAGCCATATTCTTGTAACAGTGATGAGATTTTTTGCACGTTTACTGCATCATTAAATGGAGTAGCATCACCAATTTCACCTTTGTTTGATGATACCTTCCCTTGAATACATTCAATCAAGTGACCAATTGTCATACGGGATGGGATAGCATGGGGATTGATGATAATGTCTGGAGTTAAGCCTTCACAAGTAAAAGGCATATCTTCTTGTCTGTATTGAATACCACAGGTACCTTTTTGACCATGGCGGGAAGCAAATTTGTCACCAATTTGTGGAATACGAACAGATCTCACACGAATTTTACAGAATTTGTAACCCTCGCTATTTAGTGTCAGCATAACTTGATCAACAATACCAGTCTCACTGTTACGTAAGAAAGTAGAGGCATCTCTCTTACTGTATCGTCTGGATGTCCCTTCAAGCTCATCATCATTTTCTGGCAAAGTGATTGTTTTGCCTATTACTACATCATCACCAGACACACGAATCCCTGGAGCGATTATACCATCGTCATCCAGTTTGTCATATAAAGCATTTCTCATACCTTGACAAGTTTGTCTTGTTGGTTTCTCAAATTGTTCTTCTTGATCTCCAATTCTTTTAGATTCCGAATCTTTGTATGAACGGTAAAATACAGACCGGAAGAAACCTCTCTCAACTGCTGAAGCATTCAAAATGACACTGTCTTCTTGATTATATCCAGTGTAACATAAAATAGCAACTATTGAGTTAATGCCAGCAGGTAATTCTCTGAACCTTAAATATTCCATTGAACGAGTAGTAACAAGAGGCTTGTGAGGATAATACAGTACATGAGCAAGAGTGTCCATTCTTACATGGAAGTTGGTTATGTAAACTCCCATGGCTTGTTTACCCATAGCACTTTGATAGGTATTTCTGGGGCTTTGATTGTGATCAGGGAATGGAATAATTGAAGCACAAACACCTAATATCATAGCAGGATGAATTTCACAATGTGTATAGGTGGTACAATAGGCATACTCTTTGTTCTGTGCTAAATCATCAGGGCTCATGGCAATCATTACAGTTTCTTCTTCCAAGGTATCAATGTATTCCACTACACCACTTGCTACTAAATTCTGCCACCCATAATTATTGTAATCCCTTTCTTTAAGATTGTCAATATGTTTCTTTTTCAATAACAAAGCCCCATTTTCAACAATCAATAATGGACGACAAATACGCCCTGCATCTGTGTAAATCCTGATTTCTCTGTCCCTAATATCACGAATCATACTTACTTCTGATACAATGATGTCCATTTGGCGTCTAAGTTTACGTAAAGTAGCCATCAACTGTTCTGGGTCACGGTGAATTCCTACCCAACAACCATTTACAAATATTTTAGTAGCATCAGCAATTGCAGATGGTGCTATTTCCTCCAAATTTTCCATTGACCATTCCTCCAAAAACTCTAAAATTGGAGATGGTTGACTTCCGACAGATATATAAGCCATCAAAGCTAAATTCTTTACAAGGCCTACTGCAGCACCTTCGGGTGTCTCAGCCGGACAAATCATTCCCCACAATGTGTTATGTAATTGACGTGGCTTAGCTAATTTTCCATCACGCCCAATGGGAGAGTTAACACGACGTAAATGTGATAAGGTTGAAGCAAAAGTCAATCTATTTAATACTTGAGATACACCAGCTCTAGCTTGATGAGCTTTCTTCTGATCTCCCCAGTTGCCAGTAGCCAGGGAATATCTAAGACCATCTGTAATAATTTTCGTCTTGATGGCCAACTCTAAATTAAAGTCTTTTCCTCTATCAATAAACTTTTGTGCATACATTCTAACTTCTTTCAGCAAATTTTTGAACAGTCCTCTAAAGAGAAAAGCTAATAAAGGTCCAGCCAAATCAAGTCTCTTATTGCCATAGTGATCTCTGTCATCTAATTCACGGCGTCCTAATGCAGCAAGTAGTAATCTGTGTACCATGTAACCTAAAAAGTAAGTCTTTTTCGTTTCACAAAAATCAGAAACTCCCACATGTGGTAACATTTCTTTTTGTAAGATTTCTCTTGCATATTTAATTCTTTTTTCCTTAGTGACACCTGGTCTTGCACCACGGGCTCCAATAAAATTGAGAGCTACATTCTGCTCTTGAATAACAAAAGCTTCATCAAGAGATGGTTTTACCATCTCCATCATTTCAGGATCATCAAAATCATAAATAATATGCTCCAATATATCTCTATCTGCTACAAAACCAAGAGCTCGGAAGACAATCATGATGGGGATTTCTTGTTTAATATAAGGAACAATAGCTATAATTCTCTGACCAATAGCAGATTTTTTAATACTTTGTCCTCCCCTAGCCATCATGTTTACCCATAAAGTTGATGTAGGTCTCGAACTGTGCTCCAAACAAGATCTTATTTCAGTTTTGTAAGCATATTTTCCATCTTTCATGCTAAATACATAGACAGTATTAGTGGCCATCTTTTCTTGGGCAATCAATACTTTTTCAGAGCCATTTATAATAAAGTAACCACCAGGATCTAGAGGACATTCATTCAATTCTGTTAAATCTCTGTCAGTCAAGTTGCTTAGTAAGCAATAAGTAGATCGAAGCATAATGGGAATTTTTCCAATGAATGTTTTTTGATGTTGGGTTTCAATTGGATCTTCATTTACTTTCACAATAGTTTTTGTTATATCAACATAAAGAGGTGCAGAGTATGTTAGATTTCTTAAGCGTGCTTCATTGGGCATCATAGGAGATGGTGCACCATCTTTTTCCCAGTGAGTAGGTTTAGACAAGTAAATTTGGTCAAATTTGAGAAGATATCGCGGTGGGACCTCGATTTCACCTGATGAATGTTGAGCTTCAGCTTGTAGGTCTATGGGTGGTGAATCTTCGACTATTCGCTGCACAGACATCTGTATGAATTCATCAAAACTATCCAACTGCTGCCGCACCAAACCTTTTTCATCGAAGTAAGCGTTGATGACAATCCAACACGCTTCTTGCCACAATTCCGAAGATATTTCCTCAACGTCTTCTTCTTCATACTGATCATCTTCATTATCGTACATAATAATGATGTTTGTTTTGAACACACAGACAGTACATACAGGTGCACTATTTATAAAAATATGTTTCGCTTGCGCTTCACCACCCTAAGCAGTTGTCGATCAACATTTACCTTACAAATGGCGAATAACCATAGATAAAACAATTTATTAAAGATGATAGATTAATTTGATATTGACAGTTCGTATTTGTGTTGCCAAAATAAAAAATATATAAAGGAAAACCTATCACTAAAATGATACCAAGGTACAATGTATTCAAAGATATGCTTTTTTAGTATTGATTTCAATAATAATTTAAAAGCTAATTAAAACCGATGTAAATATTTTATATATAACTTGAATCTAACTTGTTTAAATTTTTATAACGATTTTTATTTGATATATAAGTTCAATTGCTTCCATCCATTATCTAAATATATTAAAAAATATATTCCATAAGTAATCGGTAAGCACAGCACTACGTTCAAAGCGATGTTTTGTTCAATCTATCAAAAAATTGAGAATCTCTCAGGAGATATGAATGATTCATAATTTTTATTTAAATGGTGAAAAATTAGTTACTCGCAATATATTCGTTTCTTAGCATGGATTCATCGAGAAGAAATAACCCTGATAATCAAAGGTGTATACTCGGCTTGCAAGATTTGAAGTTAACAAACAAAGATGAGGATGGAACTGAGCAAGCGCACCGCGGCGGCGCAACATCGAATCCTGGCACATTAGGAAAAGCTCGCCCTGTGGGTGCGATCGAAAGCTTCGTGCTAGATAATACACAAAATAACCGCCAAGATTATAGCTTTTATGAGAGATCTAACGTCATAGCTGCATCGAAATTTGCGACCCCAAAACGAGTGGAAACTATCGCTTCCCTGAACAAACGTGATATCAACACAACAGCCTTACCATCAAGCCCCACAAGATCAATTGATTCGTTATCGCTAAGGTCACTCAGCTATCAGACCGAAGATTTGTATGAGATACCTTCAAATCCAAACTCACAATACCCACCGCCAGTATATGAAAATATTGACTATTACGGAGAACAGAGATCGCCTCAACCACCCTATTATCACCCTCTATATCAAAAAGGGCCAGTGCCCCCTGTCTCACAAGGCTACTATGATACACGTTACAGCAAAGCTCAACCACAAGTGCCAGTAAACTCTAAACTAAATCCTAAACCATCAGTTTACGAAAACATGCTCTGTAACGACAGTACTGCTGATAAGAAAAGTGAGTTTAAAGTACCACAAAGTCATGACCAACGCTTTATTCAGCAGGGTTCAGTACCTGGTCCTCAAGTGCCTAACGCTAGTGTTAATAGAAACATGTCACAGATGTTTCATGACAAAGTAAAAATAGATAAACCACCTCCACCACCATATAGCTCAGCTCAAGACAACCCTGGTAGTGATTACACAGTTATGAAATCTGCCCCTCCTAAATACACAGATGTTAGTGCATTATTGAAAGCTGATAGTGTTGTTAGTTTTGATGACAAAGTTGTAAAATTTCCATCTACAGCCATATATGCATCAATAGCTCCGAGCGCTCAGAGACCAAAAGCAAACATTGCTACTGAAGTTCAAATTGCAACAGCTAGTCCTAAATTTTTCCACCCTAAGCCCAATATTGCTAATCAGATTGGGAAAGACAAACCACCAATAAGTAATGGTGGATATACTGCTAAATCAAACATAGTTGGCAGTAAGATGCAGATAGTTGAGGACACAAACAGTTCTGATTATGTATGCATGACTGGAGGGACCCCAGCCACAGCTGTGGCTGCTGCCAAAAGAGATATTTTGCCTCAAGCTACAGACACCTTGCCACCACCTAGAGGATTAGTATCTGGTCTTACATCACTATGCTCACCGGCACAGTCTCCTGCACCTAGCCCTACACCAAGTTCTGTATCTCAAATGTCAGGTGGTTCTAGAGGCTCAGGTGGTCGTGGGAAAAGCCTTTTACCTTACAGTATCACTCCACCACGTCCGTCTGGCCCAAGCGAGGCTCAGCGTAAAATAGAAGAAATGACTAGGCAATTAGAAGAGGAAATGGAAAGGCAAGATGAAGAGGGAGAGTACTTTGGTGAGTTTTGGTCAAATTTTCTATTTACTTAGATAATTCTCATGAGATTAAAAACTTATTCTCCAAATTGCATCGCCTTTTTTAATGACAAGAAAATATATTTTTTAGGAATCTGTCACATATGTGGTGCAGGGGTGACAGGAGCTGTCCAAGCCTGCCAAGCTATGGGTAACCTATACCATACCAACTGCTTTATCTGTTGTTCATGTGGACGAGCTTTGCGTGGCAAAGCCTTCTATAATGTACATGGAAAAGTTTATTGTGAAGAAGATTATTTGGTATGTATTAGCTTTGTATAATATTTATGCAATAATGTTTGTTCTGCTAAGATGTTTTAATTTTATGATAATGAGGGTAGATGTATTTAATATAAGCCTTTTTTATTTTTAGTACTCTGGATTTCAACAAACTGCTGAAAAATGTGCCATCTGTGGGCATCTAATAATGGAAATGGTAAATATTTAAAATTTGGTACAGTACATGCTATATAAATTTGTGGCACTGAAATTCTGGAGCCATAATACACTTGAAACCTTGCTCTTAAATAAAAATAGTGTTGTGTACATACTATAATGCAAAAAAGTAGAACAATAAAAACAATTATGGTTAAAGATGACTAAATAATACTTTAATTCATTTAATTATATCATATACAGATACTACAAGCTATGGGCAAGTCATATCATCCAGGGTGTTTCCGTTGCTGTGTGTGCAATGAATGTTTGGATGGTGTGCCATTCACAGTGGATGTTGATAACAAAATATACTGTGTTAATGACTATCACCGAATGTTTGCTCCTAAATGTGCTAGTTGTGGAAAAGGTATGGAAATATTAGTTATCACTTTGCATTTTATCTTTCATATCAATACATATACGTGTTTAACATAATAATATGCTTTAAATAATTATATAGTAAAGAAAGACGTTATCTCTTAAATCTATTTTTGAATGTGACAATGTCAAAGTTTAAAGGTCGCCCCTGACATCACTAGATTTTTTCATTTCTGTATTATTGTTATATTGATATTTAAATAATGAAGATCGTTAAAAATATTTCTGTATTATTCAAAATCAAGCCAGATTAAGTTTGTATTTAATGACTGCACATTAGACTATACATTATTTGTACCAACCACCCTTCATTTATAGTTTTATAATCTAAACTAAACAGTTACATAAATACAGTTCACGGTTTTAGAAATTCTCATCCATATAACTTTTGTGTTGATTATTGATTATTATAGAAATATAGCATTGAATGCTTAATTTTAATTATAATAATCGGAAACTAATGTTAAATATTTCAGGTATCACACCAGTAGAAGGCACAGATGAGACAGTAAGAGTTGTGTCTATGGACAGAGACTTCCATGTTGACTGCTATATGTGTTGTGTGTGCGGTATGCAACTTACTGATGAACCAGACAAACGATGCTATCCCTTAGCAGGTGTGTTTTATATTACTATCAATATAATCGTTTTTAAAACTCTATTGTCTATAACACAATTTGTGTTGAGTGCCAAATAATATAATAACTAAACTCTTGCCTATAAGGGTCCTAAAAACTTGTATTGTGGAAATCTGAAATAACAGATACTACAACACCCAGATCCGAGATTAGTTGTAAGATTCTTATCTACATTTGACATCATGTTACTACCTACATTTATCCTTATCTACATTGGACTTCAACAGATGGCATCATGTTGAAACCAAGCAGCCACTTTGCTATGGGTTATAAAAATGGCATATTCAATCAGACTGTCTGTTTTGTAGGACGGTTGATGTGTCGGGCATGTCACCTGGCCACCATTGGCGCTGCCTCTGGTCCCGGGCAACCGCCCGCGCCCCACCTGTCGCCCGCCTCCTACCAGTACATGGGCTGACTCCGCTCTCCCTCGAAGCTTCAAGTAAAACCATCATTGGACTTCTATGTTCGATACATCCATGTATAATTAGCACCGGAGGCCTAAAACTTTTTGCTGATCCTTTAATATCCGGTTTTATAGATTGTTTTTAATGGTTAGTAGCAAATAAACCATTATTAGACGTTGCATAACTCAATTTTTGATATGCAAAAACTATGCCTAAGGTCTAATCTATTTCTAATAATTATTCGGGAATAACTTGCTAAACCCACTTGATATTTTTTTTTATTGACAATACTGAGTGCAATTTTAACGGCATCGTCGTAGCTAAAGTTCGTAGAAATTTTATAATGTCCTAAGGTAGTTTATGTATAATGAGATATGATATTGAAAAAGTGCAACATGCTACGCCGACATCCTTGGTAGCTATTATGAATTTTGTGGACTTCCACCGAGGTCAGGTAATGATAGAAGGTTGAATACTGGCTTCATGTATAAAGCTGCAATTATATATAGCCCATGCGGCCTGTCGCCATGCGTGGGTCATCAATCTGTTTCATATTACCACGATACGTGGGATGGGACTATTCTAATATGAAAGGAATTCCCTAACCCACACGTGGTGACATGATATATTATTGTGGTTTAATGTAGCTTTAATAATAATTGTAAGCATTCGACTGCTTTAGCGTATGTAACAGTGATACCGAATGCTACCTTGCGTCATTTATGTAATTATTTATGCAGTAAGTATTTATTAATTGCGGGAAGTATGCAGTTTTCCGTTTTTATAGACAAGGGGAGTAAGTTTGTAGGAGATTAGAATTGAATATAGTTGTAAGTTATTAAATAATAAAGATTCATAATTGTTACATTATTAATAATAAAGTGATTTGCCAATCGATGTTATTTGTGATATAAATGATTTTCTATCAGACTTTTCAGTGCAATTCATTGTAATAACGAAAGGCAGCATTAGTAGTATTCTAAAAACTACTTTATATGCATTGAGAATATTATCGGTTTTTAATTCTCAAACATAAGTAGGTACTCATAGTTTTAGTGTTCCAGTTTGTCATGTTACAAGGCTAATTTTTGTTTAAGATATGATATCTTTATTTAGTACAAATAATTAAAAATATAAAAATAAAATTCCTAAATTGTAAATCATATGAATTCACCTTTACATATTGCAGTATGTTACCCTTTTATGCTTATAACTTAACAAACCATATTTATACTAATATTGACGCAAAATATCTAAACTGTATGAATGTTATAGAACAAGAAAAAAAGACGAAAATTAAATAAATAAAGTTGCTTAAATATTAAACTTGATCAAATAATGTAAAGACTATGTAATTTGAATATAGAGTGTTCGAGGTTCAATCTATATTGGATAATTATGCTGCGATTAAACAGGTTTATTTGTAGAATACCAGCAAACTAGAAGATCCGGGTAGCTAAAAAAATAAACCTAGTTTTAAAATAAGTCAAGTACTTTGTACAAAAATGATTATCCAGATTTTATCGTGCTGTCGTATAATTTTTAAGGGCAGCCGCTCGCGTACCTTGCGAAGTACCGATATAATAGTATTGTGACTTAATATAATTTCAGTAGTGAATTAAATTATTCCTTTGTATAAAAGTGAAATGTAATGCTTTATCAAAACTCGTACCACAAATTATTGTTTGTTTATTATGCGTGGTTGTTGGTTTTCTACAAAAACACTATAGACGCCCGCGCCGCGTGTCGCCACAGCGACTATAAAATTGAGTTCTTCCACAACACGTGGGACATTGGACTATTTCACCAACACGTGACAGCATGCGGCGCGGGCTAGATATAATTCCTACCTTAGATTTACGAAAATTGCCAAGTGACCAATTTCATGATGGCTTTTTGATATCTATCTGTTTACATTGTGGATAACCATAAACTTGTTTTCAAATGAGGTACAAATGGGGAGATTTAGCAACACATCGACTTAGATTTAGAACTGCATTTACTAATAATAATCGAAGATCATACTGCGGCTCTAGCACGTAAAAGCCCCGATTGATTTGTCGAAATGAAGCCCTATCTGTTAGACATAAGATCTTTTTAATTATTGGCGTTGCCATTAACATGTAGCTTGTAACTTTAAATGTTAAATTGAAGGACTATTCTGTTAGCCTGACAGATCAACCAAGGCTTCATTTTTATAGATCAATCAGGTTTAGAAGTTACGCGGTCGAGCAGCTGGACAACGGCAGCACACCTGGTATCTACCTATATATTTTTTTTACAAGGGTCACAAAGCAAATTTTATTTTTAAGAGAATTTACACAATACATTCCAGTCATGTGCTGTCCTGTTGTGTACTTAAGCTTTTAAAGTTGATTGTATCTGTACATTTTGATGAAGAAATGTGATTTTTTTTGTAATAAAAATGTTTGTTTAAGTAATAATTTTTATATATAAATATTTTAAACAATAAATTCTTCAAAATTTATAAATACTCTTTATATTTTATATAAATACTCTTTATGCTACAGCTTGATGTCTAAGTCAATGAATCAAATTCTCTTGAAATATTAACAATCCATTAATCAACCATCAATTAAAACAGGAACAACTTATTTCAGATTGAAAAGGATGTTGAATCTTTTCCTCATGTAGATCATGAGTGTAGCAGATATAAAATCACGCTAAAGATCAGACTATTATATCATGAGATCTTTAGATGTTGAAGTGGATTAAATTGTAGCAATTTATTGATATTTTATTTTACTAGTCTGTGTGTATATCATGAAGAAGGTACATCACTCCTATAAGAAATAATGAAGTCATTTATAGTCAGGCCTTTTTCACCTTATCTTTCATGTTTCTCATTTCTGTTTTATATCGTCGCATTTCATCCATCATGTGGTTCCGTTTTTCTTTTATCTGACTCTGATAATGTTGTTTACTTTCAATGAATCTGTCTTGTAAATTGTCTTTTTTCTCTTGAAACATCTCTTTGATGCGCTCCCTAGAAGGTACCGGTCTGATCCAGCCTACTGCAGTTAATTTATTTATAGCGAAAGTAGTGCCACCTTTGAAGCAAAAACATATTTTGACATATTCATAAATTGCACTTTAACTATAAAATAGTATGTTAATACAAAATTTAATCAAATGTGCATATCATATCCATGCTGGTTAATCCTGTTGACTGACAATTAAATATAGCATTTGATAGAAAATTCTAAGCCGTATCTACTGATTGAACCCATTTATTTTGTAAAAATTGTCTGTTGGACCTTTTTTACTGGCATGGGTTGACTTATTTACAAATGCTAACATATAAATAAAGGTTACATGTATATATACATACATTATATATAGTAACAAAATAGTATAAAGTTACTTCTTGCGGTCTTGTACACTGTGGTCTTTTAAACAACACAATGCATTTAATGCAGTTTTCATAAATATACAGAGTAATGAGGAAAGTTTATTTGTTTAATACAGGACTATATAAGCAAAGATGCTGGCTAAAAGTATGTAATAAAACAATTCAATGAGAACATAAATTCTTTACCAACTGTGACTGCATATCTTAATGGTGTAGCTATCTTGTAGAGAGCAAATGCTAATGCAAAATATCCAGCACTTGAATCTCGTAGGGGTGCTATTAATGACTCCTTTACACCCCATGCCTCCAACATCCCCAAAACATCGAAGCCACTTAAACAGAATTTGATAATTTCAATTGTGCTATAGTAACAAAAGTAAAGAACTTGAAATAAAAGATTATGCCAACCTTCGTACCGCATAGTAAAAGCCACCAAACCAGATTGCTGAAGTAGCCATATGTACTGGTACTAAGACGTACCAGTAGTCTCTATACATTTGCTTAAACTTTTGTATCAGACCTGGTTTCTTTTCTTCTGGCTCTGATGAAGATTTGCTCGTTTCATTTTGAGTAGAAAATTGTTTAAGAGATACCGACACGGATTTTATTGGACTTATATCTAATATAGGTTTATTTATGGTGATATTTCGATAACTAGTACAGGTAAAATATCGTAGTGAATGATTATGCGATCGCGCAATACCCGATTTCACCGGTTTGGTTAGATTGCTGATGTAGTTATAGTTTCTACAGAATAATCTGTAAGTTAGAGACATGTTAAAAATATTTTATCACATATAAAGGAAACTTATTGATGTGGACATTTTAAATTTATTTTCAAGTAAATAAAAATATTTTCTTCTAAGATACGACGTAAGAAAAAAACTTTATTTGACAATGACATGATACTAGGGTAGGCGTAACGATAGGAAAATATCGATATATAATAAACAATTAATTTATTGTATCAATAAATCGATTCGAGCTCCTGTATGTTAAAGTAACATAGAATTAATTCATATCGATTACTAAACAATATGGTTTGACAAAAGGTCGCTCTACTACTGATGCTGGTGTAGCACTTCTTAAACATATATTCAGGGGGTGGGAGGCGTCGCAGAATGCTCTTGGAGTATTTTCTGACTTATCCAAGGCGTTTGATTGCGTTGTGCATCGAACATTGGTAACGAAGCTAAATTACAACTCTGCCCTGCAACTAGTATTGTCGTACCTCAGTTTCAGAACTCAAACTTTCGATATAAACGGTACGAGATCATCTGGTTCATAAGTAAAAATGGGGGTTCCCCAAAGATCTATTCAGGGCCCCTTTCTGCTTCTAACATACATAAATGATTTGCCATTCTTTGTCGAAACTTTATGCGACATACTATTGTTTGCAGATGATACTTTTTTAATATTGAATATTGATAGATGTAAAAATAACTTTGAAGATGTAAAAAATGCTCTCTTAGAGATTATGATATGACCTGGTTTACTGTAAATACTCTTCAGTTAAATGCTAAAAAAACGAAATGTATAAAGTTTATGTTACCTAATATAAAAGCTGAACTAACAGAAATTAAACTTAATGATGAAAAGCTCGAGTTAGTTAATTCAACAATCTTCTTGGGTATGACGCTAGACTCTAAATTGCAATGGCATCCGCACATTTCATTATTGGCAGGAAAACTAAGCTCAGCTGCCTTTGCAATAAGAAAAATTAGGCAACTCACAGATGTAGACACTGCTAGGATAGTATACTTTAGATATTACCATAGCGTTATGGTATATGGCATTCTGATGTGCGGTATGGCTGCAGATATAGAGTCTGTATTTATTTAAAAAAAAAGAGCAGTATGGGCTATTTATCAGTTGGGTTCAAGAACATCACTTAGAGATAAATTCAAAGAAGTTGGGATATTAACAGTGGCCTCTCAGTTTATATACAATAAAGAATGTTAACTAATTTTTATTATTAGCACTCCATATTCTCTGTCAAAAATAAAAAATACTAGTGAAAAAATTACTTCGATACGTCAATTAGTTTCCGATTTAGAAGTAAAACAAGTTGTCGTGACGTCGCGTCGTGCGGACTTGAAACTTTGTAATTTTATATCTCCGAAACTATTTGACCTAGACATATAATTTTTTTACATCAAATTAAAGATAAATAGTACTCTCCAGGAACCTCGGGAGTGTCTGTCGTTCTGTTCCACCGAGTATAAGTTATATGTATTATGTATATAAGTTTTATGTGCCAATAAATAAATAAATAAAAAATAAAAAACTAATACCTTTCAAGAGATTTTTTGACGGAATAAAGAAATAAGTTTTATGATTGGCTATCTATACTAACAAAAACAAGACATTATATTTAACACAATATATATCCTTATTTTAAGTGCGTTAACATTGGTAATTGTTACAATTTTATTACGCGGTGCCCCCCGCCGTGCATGTGGCCTTTAGTGTCCAACCGAATGTTCGGTTCGGTTTCGGTCGAGTTTCGGCAAAAAAGTTTCGGCTTGGTTTCGGTGGCACACCTACCGAAACTACGACCGAAACCGAAACTGCATTCTCGCGCTGTGATTGATCATATTAGGCGCAGAAATTTCCATCCGCGAAAGAAATCCCACTGCAATGAGTGGAACTTTTTTTTTATCGAAGTGTTATACATAGTGTTGAATTTCGTTTAGAAGACGTTAATTTGTTTTTAAGTTTTTTTTTTATTATTACTTTATGAAGTAAGTTCTTATTGTGATATTAGATAACAACTTAATAAGTAATTTTACTTTTAAAATTTAATAAAAAAGGTTTAAACTAGGCACAATAACTTATTCCCTTAATGAGGGGATTGAGAGGTTGTTAAGTATGTTGATTATCAAAGTCTATTAAAAAAACATGCCAAAATACACACAAAAGTATTGAAATAACCTTAACTCTAATACGTTAAGGTTTTGAATCCTAAAAATATTAGAATATTGCTATTTGACTCACTCATAAATTCAAATGCCTGCATTGGTGCAATTCTACATATTACTAAGCGATTCGGTTTGATATATCTATAAATATCGGATAAAGAGCGAGATACAAAATCCGACGTATCGCATAGATGCTGCAATATAGTGTTTCAAAAAATATATGGTTTCTGCGTGCGTCGATATCGGATATAACGATATAAGTTTCAATATCTATATACGATTTATATTGCCCACTCCTAAGACATAATATCTCCTTCTTGGTTTATGGTCATACGCTTGCCATCTACAAAAAAAACTTGTACTTCCCTTTATTATAAATTACTGTTTGCCGTCTACCATGGTAGACGCGCCGCATACAACAAGTTACTAGGCTGATACGTAGTATCTTCTTCTTAGTTTGTGCTTGACTGCGTACTAAATCAGAATTAAACGTAAAAAATCACTACTAAAACCTTTATTTGCAATAACAATACAACTTAAGTACATTATCTGCAACGCAGTAACTTTGATTGCCGTAGAGATTGAGACGACTTACTGTTCCCACCGTTGACCATTCAAGACCGTTATATCCCCTCATGGTGGCTTCGAACACTCCATCGCCAGGCGTAGTCTTTACCACTATCATTAACTCGCGCCATATATCGACTTCTTCGATTTCTGATTTTCCCACTACCATTTCGTTAGCTTCAATAACATCAACAAGTGAGAGATTAGCACAATCACTGTATACAGATACTTGTGCATTTAAACCTTCGACTAGGCTCTTTGCGGCTCGCCAAACTACTTTATTTCTTTTTGATTTAACGATATGTTTGTGACAAGTGCACCAGTGGTCGCTGATGCCAGCCAATTCGCATGTTCTATTACTAGATATTGGTAAAAATAGACTTATACTTCTATTCTTATAATAATTTTGCTTACTCCGACGAAATATAGATTTGTTTTTAATATTCTCTAGGTTGATTAAATCGTGTAAAGTGGAGTATATATCGTATGGAGTGGTCAAACGTTTACTGTTTATTTTCAAGTTTTTGTAAGCTCTGTTATAGTTTTTTCGGAAACGTTTTGGTGTTAACACGAACACGAATGGTAGTCGCTCTTCCAAACGACCCTGTTTCGTGTATCTAATGTCACCCCATCGAATACCATGGTCACTCATTAACAATACTATAGAGTCATTTAAATAGCTCGATCTTTCTAGCTTTTCGAATAGGTCTACATAATCGTTGTCCATCATCATAGGATAGTTCAGTTTGTCATGACTCATGGTGATTTCCCAAAAAAATCCAAAAAGTTTCGTATGCCGTAAAGTGTATGTGATATCTTGAACATAATCCAATAAAACTTGGTAAAAGTATTTATCGTTCAAACACTTTGTCAGTTGCATAGTAAAATTTTCTTTAGCCGCATACTTATCTGCTTCATTCATAAAGGTGTGTACGTAATAATCAGTCGGAGTATTGCTAAAACCCGCTCTATGATAATTAAATGTACCTAACCAACCGCTGTCTTCAGCAAACGCAGTATAATAGCCTGCTTGTTTGTACCACTCCCAAATAAAAGGACAATTATCGAATTTAGACTCTCTATAAGGTAGGCAAGTCTTATCAATTTCAGTATCTGATATTCCTAGTAATAATGGTATTAAATTTGGGAACGTATTATCACCTACTTTATTATATCCTGATAAATCTACAGCTCCATTATCTATCAAATACTTGACGGTTTTAGGCATAGTTCTGAAGAAATTCAGACGGGACACAGAATCTACACCTAAAATTATAACATTGAAAGCTGTGGAATTCTTAGAAAGTTCTTTCCGTTCGTTATGAGATTTAAATTGTTTCTTTTGTGCGAATAAGTAATATTCTTCAATAGTATTATTTCCAAATGTACAGTTAACTTTGACAAATTCATGTTGCACATTTATTGTTTCTTTAAAATGTATGCAATCGTTGTATTTCACTCTATCGTCAACATGCTCATCAATATTTTCTATGTAATCCGGTCTATAAAATGATCTATAACAACATAAAATATTGTCACCGATTCTGTTGATATCTCGCAATCTTTTAATCCAAATTTGTGTTTTGTTGTGTTCGAGTCGCACAATTGAAGATTTCTTTAAACATTTTGTTGCATTAGGACGTTCAACGTATTTCTTTATCCTGTAATCCGTTGGCTCTAAAAATGGGATACTGCAACCTTCCGTACGTATAGTGAATCTTTTTCCATCCGTATCACTTTCATAACAATTACCGTTTCCAGTTGCACAGAAACGTTTATAACTGTAGTCTATATTTTTCTTCAAATTAAAGAAAACATAAAATGTAGTAAGAATTATTCCAATCAAAAATATATGTTTTATGCGTCTAGAAGTTACTCTTCCTGTAGTAACAACGGTTTTCCTATTTAAAGTAGTGTTACATGGCGCCACCATTTGGAAATAGGTGTATCATATGCATTAATACACTAGATAATCACGTGATAGGATTTTCCTATGGTGCTTAAAATTATGATTTAATCACGAAAGACAGCGCACTAAGAGGAACTGCAAAGATGTTTGGCACTTAAATACGTGTAGCACTTTGTAGCAACACTATTACGAAGAGTTTAGCATATGTGTCTGTCAAAAGTTGCCGTAATAATTATGTTAATTGGCAATTTTACGGGTGGACAGTAAGGCCACTTTGATGTTTCACGCTTACAGCTGTTTTTACGCAAGTGACTTATTCTATATTTCTTCTACGGATGTTTTGGTAATGTAAAACACGCATTTCCTAACGGATGAAGTAATATATACTCTGAAGATTGTTGTATAAATAAAGAAAAATATTTATTTTTTATTCTATAGAATGCTCGATCCTCACACGAATTCATAAATTAAAATCTCCTGTTTTTGGATACGTCTGTGTGACCTCCGGCGTTACCGAATTTGATTATAATCTATTACTAATGTT